CATGCTGTGGTGGCGTCTCACGTACAAAATAGAAGAAGACTGGCACAGACATTAGCTCAGTGACAATCTTCCTCAAGCAAAAAGAGGAAGATTGGCAACAGATGTTAGCTCAGGGCCAGTCTTCCTCGCCAAAAAAAAAAAAAAAAAAAGAGGAAGAAGAAGAAGAAAAAGAAAAAAGAAACCAAACAAGAGAAACTGGCTGACTCTTACTCCCACCTAATGGGAATGTAACCACCCATCAACACCTTCTAACTTCTCATTAAGAAGCATGTGTTTTGAGACAATAGCAGGAACCACAGAACTTACCCTTTCTGTGCCAGCATCCTTCCAGTTTCAAACTAAATGTTGTTATTCATGGCCAGGCTCCACCTTGCTCAGAAAGGCTCATATTTGTCTTTGCAAAGACGGTCTTTCTGGCAAATCTTCAGAAAACCTCGAGCTAACATGTTGACCCCAGAGAGCTGTGACAGCCTTACGGGGAATGTGGTTTTTGAACTTGATGGGAGGGGGTTAGAATCCCACCCACCTGCCAGTGGGCCTCTCTCATTCCTGGGTTTACCCTCTGCAGATTAAGTGAAACAACCTACACAGAGTATTTAGCCCAGCACTTGGCACTCCAGAGGCCCTCAAAGAATGTTAGGCTGCCATCACACCACCATCACACCATCCTTTACTATCATCTGAACTCACATACCCTCGAGCCTGATTCCCAAACTCTGGGTCTGGAAGCCGCCCAGGGCTCTGCCCTGCCTCCAGGCCCATGGGGATGTTCTGGGAGGCCCCCCCGCCCTGCTCCCCCCCCCACCCCCCCCACCCCCCCCCAGCCCCCCCCCCCCCCCCCCACCACCACTAACATACCCTTAGGGCAAAGCAGAAACGGCTTCTGCTTTGGAGGGAGGTTTTCCTAAGCCAACTTTTCTTTTTATCTGACGGGAAGGGCTGAGTTAAGAGGCAGCAGCAGGGGGACGCACAAATAAATACAGAAAACCCTCTCCAGGGGCTGCTATTGTGCTTAGTACAATGGCAGGCTCTGGAGAGCATTTTTATCCAGTTGAGATTGGAAAGTAAAATAAATGTGGTCATATTACACCCTCCTCCAGAGCCCTGACTGGCTACAGCCTTCCCCCTAGGGCCGTAGGAGTGGAAGGGGCACTTTTTGTCAGAGTCCCGGCCTTGTGTGACGGAGAAGAGAACTTAGGGGGTGGAGGCAGGTCCTCAAGTTTGGGGTCAGGATTCCCAGAAGTTTTGGGCACTAGGCCTCCCACCAGCCTGGGCTTTCTCAAAGGCTGCCAGCACCAAGTCCACACCCTTCCCAGGGCTTTCCGGCCAACAATGGGCCATGGTCAAGAGGGCAGGCCTGGCAACACACCCAGGCTGTTTGGCTCTGAGGGGAAGAGGAGCCCCCTTCCAGCAATGGGCAGCAGGGGCTCCGGTGGACTGGTGGCTTTCTGGAGTCAAGGAAATGTCCCCAGTACTGTAAGGACTGGCAGCTCAGCCTTTGCTGCCTTGGGTTGCTTTGAAGTGAGTCATACAATTGGAAAGATCTTTCTGGAACCAAAGCCATCTTGAGTCTCAGCTCTTTTGCAGCTGGTATTTCTAGGCATCCCTCGAGAAGGCTAGGAAACTCCTCCCTACCCAGGAAACACTGGAGCCAATGGCTCTAAAAACCCCTCAGGAAGAGCCGAGCCCCAACCTGGAGCCTTTGGATGCTTCCATTTTGAGCAGCCTGCGACCCTGGCTGCCACAGCGCCCATGGGGATGCCAAAGCCCTTCTGCATGACACTTGCCCACGTGCCCAGCTTGCAACTGGAGAGGCAGGGTGTGAATCCGAGCCCCACCACTGGGTAGGGCACATCTTGTACAAGACACTTGCTCTCAGTTCTAAAATAGAAATGATGTAAGGAGCTTTGTGAAATCAATCGTGTCATACGCTTAGCTCAGGGCTGGGCAAATAAGTCCCTATTACATGGCAGTGATTTTATTAAAAAAAGCTAATGTTTGCTCATTTTGTATCATGTTGGGTCCTGTTCTACATGAGTCTCACAATATCCCTTTGAGGTAGGTTTTATTCTTCCTATTATAGAAGTGGAAATTGAGGCTTAGAGAAGTTAAGCAAATTGTCACTAGCTACACAGGTAATTATTGGTGGAGCTGGACTCAAACCCAGGCAGTCTGGTGTACAGCCTGCACTCAACTACTATATACTACTTTCTGTAATGGTTCCTATTAATTGGCACATCTTCAGGGGATCTCAACCTTAGACTATTATTGGACCAAGAGAGTGCTGTTATTGAAGCATATAAAAGAAGTTGTAGGCTTGTTTTAATGCTGGAGTGTTCATATACAGACTAGAGGGGGGAAAAAGTCCAAACAAAAACTAAAATTCTCAAATGACTAAGCTATTTAAAATAGTATAGACCTCATCCAAGTACCAGAAATCCTGATCACCCAACACCATCTGATATAATATAACCACCTGCTTTCCTGTGTTTGCTGTGTTTCTGCCTTACTTCATTTGGCCTCACAACCCCATACGACAGCCAGAGCAGGTATTCATTCCTAACTGACCAATCAGGAAACTGAGGCTCAAGGAGCTTAAGGGGTTCTTTATGTCTAAGTGGCTAATTACTCTTAATAAAGATCACTAAAGTTTCTCGAGCAATTACTGTGTGCTAAGTACTGTGCTGTGCTCAACATGTGTTATCACAATACAGCAACAATGTTTGATGGGCATTACTATTTTGTCCAACTTGAAGATGAACAAACTGAAGCCTAGAGAGGTTAAATAACTCACCCTAAGACACACAGCTAGTGAGGACCCCCAACCATTGTTCATAACCACGGTGTGGTGGTAGTGATGGGCCTCACGGCCAGACTGAAGGGAACTGGCCAGTCTCACACTGAGAACCTGCTCTATGCGGTGCACCCTGGGAGATTTAGAAGGTGGGAGACACAGTCCTTGCCTTCAGAAGCTCACAGGCAGTGGGACACAGAGGAAAACAGCCCGGGATTTGAAGTGGGACAGACCTGGGTAATCCCAGCTCTGCTGCTCCCTGGCTGTGTGATTAGGCACGTTTAGTTAGCCTCTGAACTCTGGCTTCCTCCCCCATAGAGAGGAGCTACAGTGATCTGTCAGGTAGGGATGTCATGAGGGATACCATTAGCACAAGGCCTGGCACTCAATATAAAGATCTCTCTGCAACTAAACTGAGGAGCAGAAACACATGCAAAGCCAGCAGTACCAGGCAACACTTGAAAAGTGTCAAACATGATGTTCAACCATAGTATGCAAAGAATGTACTGGGGCAGGTAGGGTTGGGCCCATCAAGACAGGCTTTGGAGAGGGTGTGGACTCAGGCTTGTCTTTGATTTAGGGCAAATGGAGCCCATGGGAAATTCACACGGTCACTCCAAGAACTGTGGGCAACTGATTTCAAATAGTCAGCATTGCCATTACCTCCTGTCCCTGGGGCCAGATCCTCTCTTCTCTCCGCCTCCTTGAAGAATTGGACATTGTACAGAAGAAATGCCATTGGCAAAGCTACAGAGGCAGGAGAGGGCATGGTGTGCTCAGGGAACTCACAGTGGTTTGGAAGAGCTGGAGGGCAAGGGTCAAAGGTGGGGCATTGTGGGAGGGGAAGCTGAGTGGTGGGCGAGGCCAGGGCCGGTCATGAAGGGCCTTGGATTCCCCACACAGGCTTGTCAGCTTTGCTGCGAGTGTGTGACAGCTAACCAGTGAAGTTAGGCAAGGAGTCAACTTTCAATGCAATGGTGATGACAGTGGCAAATGCCACACAGAGCGCAAGATAAGAACTGAAGACAAACACTGGCCGTGCTAATTATGGACCCAGGTGGTCACGCTGGGGTGGGTTGAAGCAACAAAAGAGTAGAACTCAGACTTCCAGCCAGGGCCTCCTGACCTCTTTTCTACAGTAGGGAACTAACAAGCCAAGTGTCTCGAGAATAACCTGTTTCCAGCTTCCAAGTGCGGGTCCACATGAACGCTAGTGCAACTGGCCCCTGGACAGGTGTTACGGACTGCACGTTTGTGTTCTTCCCAAATTCATACGGTCAAACCCTAACCTAACCCCCAATAGGAACGTATTAGGAGCAAGGGCTTTTGGGAGGTAATTAGATCATGAGGATGGAGCCCTCATGATGGGATTAGTACCCTTATAAGAGGAAACTTGAGAGAACTTCCTTCCTCTGTTCTCCACCATGTGAGGACACAAGAAGACAGTGCTGGTCTACAAAGCCAACGGACTCTCACCAGACACCAGGTCTGCCAGCACCTTGATTGTGGCCTTCCAGGCTTCCAGAGCTGTGAGAAAGAAATGTTTGCTGTTCAAGCTACCCAGGCTGTAGTATTCTGTTGTAGCAACCCAAACTGACTAAGACAATAGGCTCGATAGACACACAGTAGATCAGCTATGGTGGGAGGAGGCCATCTTGAGTATAAACAGATTCTTGCATTTTCTGGCAAGCCCAAAATCTCAGCAGTAAAGATAAGTAAATTGAAACCTGGAAGATTTTCTTCACTTAAAATTTGATAATGCAGGGGAGGTCAAAGATTTGAAAGATGTTTCCCCCCACTGCATTCTAGTTTCTTAGCACAATGGCCCCCACTCATGGCAATTCAGAAGCTCTTGTCCTCAGACCTCCTCAAATCCACAGCCTTGTCTAAACGATGACATTGTGTCACAAACAAAACCAAACCCAGCTAGAACAGCACAGTGCAACAGCGCCGTGAAAATTTTTTTCTTTAGTCGACTTGGTCAGTGTGGTCTGAATTATCGGACAAACAGTCTTGGAACACACCATTACTATTTGTTGCGTTTCCCCCTCTAACTGACCTTCCTGCATGATAAAAATGCACTCCCAAGGCTTCGGCTGAATTCTGATTGTGTGTTGGATATTGGAAGTTGGGCTGATGCTTTTTCAAACGGGACAGATCTTTAAAAGGAGCAGAGGAACGAGAAAGAAAACACAGTGTGGAGGCCTTTACGAATAAAGCACACACTTTATTCACAGAGTTGTGAGTACAACAGCGATGCAGAGCGCAGCGCGGATCGGGGGGCAGGTGCTGCCTGCAACAGGAGCACGGGGCAGGTGGCAATCACAAAGCACAGCGACATGGGGCCAGCGGGCCACACCGCCTCTGCGTGCTAGCACACGGTACTCGGGGTGCAGAGGACCCACCCACTCACTTTCACGGGGACACAACACATCTTTTAAACAGCGGTTCTTCCAAATATTTGCTTTCATAGTCTGAAAGGGGAGGGTGGGGGCCGGGGGGCAGGAAGAGCCGTGTGCCTTCCGACACTTGAATAGAAAACGCCATAAACCCAACATAAAATGAAAGAACCGCGAGAGCTTCGATGCAGGATTGTCAGCAACTCACAGAAACCACACACATTTATTACTGGACGGGTGTGTACACCAAACCCCCAAAGGACATCAATTCTGCAGACATTCGTTTTCTCTTCCGTAGAGAAACAAACGCGTATACAATCATGCAGTGGCTCACTGCCTCTCTGAATGTTAGCGTATACGCTATTGTCTCCTGCCTTTGGAGAATGGGCTCAGAAAATGACTCAAGGGATCTTCATTCTGGGCAAGAGACACTTTTGGGAAGAATTTTATTTAATGGTAACAATTGCCACTCAATTATACTAAGCATCAAAAAATGTTGGATTTGTTTAACTCTGCTGTGTACACATACATTGTTTGGAAAGTTCCTTTCAGCTTAAACTGACCACCTCCCCCTTTCTTTTTGAGTTTACCATACATTAAATGGCCAAATAAAAACACAAAAATCCATAAGCAAAGCGTGTCAGTCTCCATCTCCCCACTGCTTCCTGGGCAGCAAATGGAAAGACAGGAATTTTCTTAAAATGTCAAAGTTTCTCTTTCTTTTCATTACAACACAGTTGCGTAGTTCCCTTAATGTACTCTAAGATGGTGCCATTGCAAATCTCAAGCCCCAAATAATCTCTTTTTCTGAACAGAACATTCTTCAGAAGAGAGCACTATGAGTGAGTTTTAGGGAATACTGACAAACACTTGGTTTGTAAAAGAAAATAATTTGACAAATCAAATAAAATCAAGGCTGGCCTAGGAAACAGATTAAACAGTGACCAGAAATACAGAAAGGTAAGAACTGAGCTGGCTTCAGAGGACACAGAAGAGTTGGTGATGAAGAGTTCATTTTCCTTCCACCATCTTTCAAGACAGTCAGAAAGAGGCTCTGTGAGCCCAGAGCCTGGAGGGTCGCCTGCCCCTTCAACAGGCAGGAGAACGAGAGAACACTAACACCAAGTCCGCTTTGAAGAGTTTTTAGAAAGACCTACCTAGTCAAAAGTGGTTAATTTGAATTTTTTAAACTTGCAAAAGCGTATACATTTTATATAATCATCTGAGAAGCAATTCTTTAGAAAAAGGTGTTTGCTTTAAAGTGTAAAGAAACTAGGAGAAAGTTTTATAAACATTTCCAGCAAGACTTCTCCAAGTGGAGTTGATTGACATAACCAGACTGAGGGGAGGAGAGTTGAAAAGAGTTGCTGCAGCCTCACCTCAGAAGAGGAAACTCAGTTTGGAAACAACAGAATTGGGAGAAGGAGGAAGAGCCTAGAAGACAGGGCAGATAAAAACCACTTTTTTTTGCAACTTTTTACCTATTAACTCTAGCTTTTCTGTTTGAGGTTTCAGAGAACGGGCAATTGATCTTTACCTATTGAAGCAATCACATCAAGAATGTTTCATAACTCACCCAAACCACAAGGTAGATGCATAGCCAGCTATGCAAGTTTCCAGATGCGCTCTATGTCTCATCCTAAGTCACACAGGAAGACTAGATGGCATCCTGGCTTTTCTGGAAGAAACTTTAAAGGAAGCACTGACTCTCATATTGCCATAGAGGCCTCTTTTACTTCCTGCCATCAGCGGTGCTTAAAGCATCACAAGTAAGCCCAACACTCAAAAATGTAGCCCTTTACGTATATACTGGGGAAGCTTGCCATGTGCATGATTCCCTTCCTGGAGTGAACAATCCCTGTTCATTTGACTGTTAATAACTGGACTTTTTACGTGTAGCGCAGGGCAGGGATCAAGCAGAGAACACTATCTCCTGTGCAGTGACCCGGACATTTTGGGGACAAGCATGCTGAGCCCAGTTTAGCAAAATGGATAGGGCATGGTAGCCCACAGAGACTTGGCAGTTGGGAGAAACAGAGAGCTCCAGAACCCATCCCTCTAGGGGGAGCCTTCTGCTGGGGAGTGGAGTTGGGGGAACCCATTCTGCATTGCAACTTCCAGTGCCCTCTCCCCAGAGCACAGCACTGCTCTGCTGGCAGGCAGGAGGTGACTGAGGTTTTCTGGCAACACATTTTTGCATTGTGCTGTTTAAATTTGCTAATACACTTGATATGGAAAGGACCTCCTCTGTCCCCGCTAAGTTGGATGCAGAACTGAATTCAAAAGCTACAAGAAAAGTAGGGTTTTATTAGTGGGAACAGATTTTGGATTCAGTTAACTATCATTGCAATTTTTCTTATACTGACATTTGATCTGCATGTGCATGGCTCATAACTCATTAACTGATGAAAATATTCAGGGTCCTTTATTATCCCCACAATGAAAAAAATCTCTCCCCAGCCTAGCCCTGGGACCTATTGCACCATCCCTGTCATTGATTGTGGCAGGGAAACACTGGGAATACACCATAGTCCCCACCCCTTACTTTGCCAGACAAAGCTAGGACTAGGACACCCAGGCATGGTGCCGAGGCAGAAAGAAGATGGACAGTGGAAACCTCAGATGAAGCAAGAGGCAATTGATATACGAAGGGGCAACACTGCAAGGAAGAGCTGGTCTCCTCAGGTCCATCCCATCAGAGCTGTTTGCAAAATATGTTAGTAGGTCCAAAACACACACACACACGAATTTGTGAGAACAGTCCTCAAACATTCAGTGCCCAGCACTGAAAGGACAGGCAAATTCAGATGCCTCTGGGAAGACTGCAGGAGAATACCATAAAGCAATTACAGTGCTCAATTCAACACCCAGCTGATGGAGTGTGTCATGAGGTTGGGGTCTGCAGCACAGGTTCAGAAACTATTCTCCTTGCTTTTGCCCCTGGTGTCAGCTACTAACCAATCCTCATCCTTGGTGCCGGTAGCGGGAAGAATTTCTGAGCTTTTATTATCAGTGGCATAGGCAGGTGAATTGTTCTCTCCTTTGGCTTTAAAACCGAGCTTTAACTCCTTAGCAGAGCCCCAGAGCAGAATACATGTGACCTGACCTCCTGTGGGTGGGGCTGCAGATCCTCTCCCTCATCTGACTCACATCCCGTTGGAGTCACAGCCACTGGCTTTCAGGAATCACGATGTGGTCTGAGACGCAAGTTCGGGTGAAATCCTAGACACTCAACTTGTGTTGACAAGTTGAGGGCTCTGGTGAGATGCTCTGATCCCACACACAGCCTGATCCTAGGTCTGTGGTCTTCGGTCTGATGCGGACCTGAGTTACGTCAGCCATGGAGTGTGCTGGCTTCCAAGCACCAACGCCCTCCCACAGAGAATGTAGTGGCGGGGATACAGTTTGGCCTCACTCTTGATCTTTGAGTCACGCACACCTGTGCAACTGTCCCTTGGAAGCTGCAGCACAGTGGGATGAGCATTCCAGCAGAAATAAAATTAAAAAGCATGTGCAGACTCACGAAACTACCCTGGGTGAATTAAAACACACACACATTCATCCATACACACAAACCATGAAGTCCACAGTGCTAGGCCAGAAGGAAAGCTGAAAAGGCCAAATTAAATCAGTTCGAGGCAATCTATCTTGGAGTTGCAGAGACTTAAAATGGAAAAACATGCCTTTCCTTAGCCTACCACTGAAAAGACCTTAAAAAAACCAAAATCCGCGTGGGCTTGATCTGAATGAGAGGATGCCAGATATAGAGCAGAGGCAAGAACTTGCAGTGGGAAGACACGGAACAATTTTTTTTTTTGCCTAGAGTGCTACGGCCCCTGTGCTAACATCATCAACCAGCATGCAGCTGGGCCAATCTGGAGAAAATGTTTTTTTCCTTTCTTTGCAAAGGGGTCCCCCCGAGACAGCTCCTGTCCTTGGTGGGAAGGAAGAAGAAAGCACACTATTTGATGCAGAAAAAGAGTTAAGGGAGGTTTTCCTTTCATTCCTTTTCCCTCTCTTTCTCTTAAAAAAAATTTCTTTTTAAATAATAGCTAAGTCCTTTACCAGCCAGGTCCTAGCAAAGAGCAGAGAACAAGGAGCTTGTTAGAAATTACTCGGGCTGCTATTCAGCCCGCCCGGCCAGATCTGCCGGGTTCCCCGACCGATTTCCATCCTGCTGGGGTGCAGGCAGAGCTGCGTGAGGCCAGTGAGGAAAGGCGTGTGCAAAATGGCTCTACCACATGGATATGTCCCTCAGGCTCTTGCTTCTTAGCCACAGTGCTACATAATAAATATATTCATACTTTGGAATTATTACAACTGCTTTTTTCCATGCGGCATCCTAAGGGCACTTGCTGGCACTTATCCACACAGTCAGCACAATTGTTGGACAACAGTTAAAAGAAAACAAAAGAAGTAGCTCCTGTTGTATACATGTGGTGATGTAAAAAGGTCACATGTGAACACGACTGTCAAGTGTGGGAACATAGAAATTTCTACCCCATTGCTTCCTGGCAAGTGTTGCCGTCGGTCGGCTCAATATTTGGCTTGTAGGTGTTTTAATCAGATTTTCCCTTTTTGTTGTTGCTGAGGGATAGTAGTTTGCAAATTCTCCAGTCCAGTTTGGGCCTTAATACAACATCCTATGTGTCACCGCCATTGTCAGTCCTTTTGCTAATTGCTGTCTACGTGTAGGATTTAGAAGAGTTTCGCTTTTTTCTTCAGGTCATTGCGTCTCCAAAGAGGTAACTTGTCAAACTCCTGTATGGACATTCCAAAGATTTCCCGAAACACTTCTGGGGCTAAGTGACGCTGTGGTGAGAGAAAAGAACAGTGGTCAGTCCTGATGGCTACATGGATGGCCTGGAGAGCCGCTCTCTAGTTTACACATTATCATTTTGAAGAGCAAGGCAGAAGAACGGAAGAATTCACCATCTGGTAGTTCCATACCTGGTCAGGCCAGGTGAGGCGACCTCCCCACCAAACAAAAGAGCTGGCAGAGTATTAATGATGAGTATAATAATGCAGAATGGTGCTGGGACATAGGCAGGGGACTTATTATGCTGGAGGCAACTCCACTTCAGGTCCTTGGGATATTGAGAAGATGCAGGACAAATGGACCACGGCAATAAGAAAGCCAGAGAGAAACTTCCAGGGCGGTCTGTGGGGAGCCCTGGGGCTTCCTCTCTCTTTAGCAACAGGAGTTCAGGGGGATGTCCTGTCTACTGAGGAGAACTTCCACCTGTCGTCCCTCCTAGAAAAGTTCCCTCAGGATACAGGAGCCTTTATTCTCTGTGCCAGGCTGATCTGGCGTACAAAGGTGCTGCCTTTGTAGGGGAAAAGTAATGATTCTTCATGAGACTGGCAGCCAGAGTTTTTCTTAATTAAAATCATTCAGACGGAAAAGTACAAAGATCACTCTTCCACGTCTAAGGAGGTCTAGGGTATGTGTACCCAGATAACCCTTCAACAAAGAATGGGGAAACAGCCAAGAGAGAAACTTGTCCTGTGCAAACCTCCTTACTGAGAGCTCCCTCCCCTCTCTCAACAGACTCAACCCAGGGTCTGGGAAAAATAAGAACCTGGGGTTATAGGAAGAAGGACAGAGACTTCATCCTACATCGCCAGCCATAATTATGGCAACATCAAGCTCCCAAAGAAAATGACTAAAATCACACTGTATCTTCTGGATCATTCTAGATTTTACCACACATTTTTATGCTGCTCTCCTAAGTATAAATTTGGCTTTTTCTCCAAAGTTATCTTAGTTCTACCTGCAATATGAGGTTGACCCTTTTTATTTTTTGTCTTCACTAAAGCATTTCTTAGGGGAAAGTTGGGGGGTTGAGGGAAATGCACAGGGATCTGCAGTTGAGACTGGATTTTTAAAAAAATTTTTTTACCTCCAGCCTGGTTCTGTCCACGTCTCTTAGGATTTTGTTGCGCCCTCTGTTGGTCACCATGAGCATTTCATATGGAAATATCTGAGAAGCAAAGAAAAAGTCTCTTCTAGAATACTACTGTCCATTTTATTAACAAGAAGAGTCTACCTAAAATATGGCACTCCCAAGATAGAGCTCCTAAGAGATTATAATCAGAGCATCTCAGTGATGGGTGCTCCTCCTTCAAGACCAGCTGAAGTTCAAGTTTCCAGTGGACTGGGACAGGGTCTTACTCTCAACGCCCCACCAGTGTCTCAAGTAGCACAATGCCTTTGGAGGGCTTTGTTGAGTGAAAGAACACAAACTTACTACGTATTAGGGATGCAAATTAAAATTAGAAGAGGACTGAAATTCAGGTATGTATTTTATCTTTACATGATGCTGTTATATGGCAGGCTATTTTCATGCAGGCTTCAATGATCTTGTTCCATGATCGGCTCATGACTCCATGGAGCCAGGCAGGCCCACAAGCAGTGTTCTGGTGGATGATACACTGAAATAAGCCCCAAGTACACTCACCAGGGAGCACAGCCCTTTAACACCTCTGGAGGTACAGGATGTTCTGGAGCTAGGGTGACCAACCAGCTCAGTTTGCTCCAAACTGAGGAGGTTTCTCAGATGCAAGACTTTCAGTGCTAACACTGGGAAAGTCCTGGGGAAACTGGGACATGTTGGCCACCCTATCTGGTCTGTAACTACTCCACCGAACACTGGGCATGTCTTTGGGCATGTCTTACAGCGCTCATCGCAGGGGCCAAGTTACTACTGACGTCACAGGAGAGATGTGCTGGTCCTTCACCGTGAACACACAGTGCCACACCCAGTGAAGGCCTGAACCTGCTGACTTGGTGTGACCAAACTAGCGGAACGGCAGGGTGCTTTATGACATGGCTTGCTAATGCACCTGCCTAGACCCAAGTGGGCCTCAACACTCTGACAATGAGGAAAAGATAGAAAACCAAATCTTTTTAGGGTTTTGTCCCAGTTTGTCATCCCCATGAGAGGCAACAGTTGCACTTGCCTTTGGTTCCAACATGTTGGGCATAGACACTCCTCGGTCCATTCTCATTGCAGGCATGTGGCCATCTGGAAGGGTCTGCAACAGAAAAGCTGGTTCAAGGAGAAGTAGATGACAGTGTGGGGAGCTGAGAGGGAGAACGTTGTGGGCTCCCACGCCTCCCTGTTTGGGTCTCAAACCTCATCACCACTTTGTAGATGTGTCATCTTAACCACCACGGACTTTTCAAAATGAGATCCTTGCTGAATACGAGCAGGAATCCTGCTATTTTATAATCAAGTTAGGGAAATACTTAGCTTAATAGCTATTGACTAATCCATGCATGAATTGAGGCTCCGTGCACGAAAGTATATGGTACATTAAAAAAAAAGCCAAGTCTATGATCATTATTTTCTTATTTTAATCTTAGTTTTCTTTGCACTTTGTTTCCTTTTCTCATTCTCCATAATTTTACAAGGTTTAGGTCCCAGGGAAAAAGGAACGGTACCAGAGCAGCTCTTTCCTATTGGCCAAGACAGAAGTTTCTTTTCATTTGGGACCATGCAAAGTTGGGGAGGACCTAAAATACTGAGTGGTTATAACTAAAAGAAAAAAAGCTGCACATGGGCGGACCCGTGATGCTGGTCTACTTCCACCCCAGAGAGGACTCTCCAAGGCTAGAGAAGAGAGTCCTCTGACGCCTGGCCTAATTCATGCCATATCCCCAAGGCCTGCAGGCACAGCTTGACCCAGGCCCCAGGCATGCCTGCTCCTCATGGCTCCTCAGAGCTATGGACTAATGATTAGACAGATCAACCAAAATAAACATCTTCTCATCAGAAACCCTTCACTGGAGCAGCAACGCACGTCTGGGGTGAAAAATGGCTGTTCTGCTGGTGTGGCCAACTCGAGAAAGACAAAGTGTTCCATACCTGGTAGTCTGGAGAAGAAAGAAAAAGAAAATATCAGAAGGGAAAGATCATAGAAAAACATGGAAACATTACTAGAGAGACTATATTCCATTGGAGTTCCTCAAACGTTCCCCAAGGAACCATGTTCTTTCCCTGCTCTCTGCATACACTGCCACCTGCCTCCCTGAAGCCAGGAAATGCCTCCTCTAGTTTTAGTTATCAGTTAAAACACTCATTTCTCTTGGAAGCTTTCCCTGACCTCCCAAAGATGTTCCTTCCTTCTCTCTGCATCTCCCATCACAGTATTTATCACACGGAGCTTCTCTCTCTCACTCTGCCATATGCATTTTAAGGACAGGGGCCATGTTTTGCCTATTGCTGTATCTTTAGGTATCTAATCGAGTGCTCCACACACAGTAGGAGCGATGATTCCTTCTTACAAACTCGCTTCTCATGGTCTCATTTCGGGACTGGAGGTCCTTTGAGGTTTGAGTAAATGCTCTGTTAGCTCACAGAGGATGGATGTGGTCCTGCTTAGGGATGCAATGTGGCATGAACCCAGCCAATATACTTGTGACTGGATGGCTTCTCCTCAAGCTCAGCCACAGTCAGTCAGAACCCGGCCACAGGAGCCTCACCTCGCACTCCGCCACTGACGTCCCCATAGCTGTTGTACTGAGCAAAGTCTGTAGAAACAGGCTAAAATGAGGAAAAACACATTATCAGAAAATCCACTCTACAGTGAATGTTTTGGAGTCATGTGAAATGAAGAAAGGATTTACAAAATCCTAAGAAGTCTGCCCAAGCTGAATTCCTGGACCTTCACTGTTTTTCTTTCCTATTTCCTCTTCTACTACTAGCAAATCTTTGTCTTGTAGTATACCCAGCGCAGCTGCTCAGCAGGCCCTTGGTAAGCAAGTGTCTCTTGCTGATAAATAAAAACACATTTCTCCACATAGTTACACAATTACATGTGTTCTATGCTTTGTGGGAGGGCAGTTGCAACAAACTTTCCTATATCTTTTCACAGCAGAGATTGGCTCAAAAAATTACTTTTTGTTTGATTGTAAAAATACCTGTCACACAGTTACTTAATCGAGACTTCTCATAAGTTTGTACCGGCCATTCTTTTATCTAAAGTCAATTTCTCTTTCTCTTAATAGAAATATTTTATTTTGCTTATAACTCAAAGTGATTTACCAGGAGATCAAGGAGATTACAACTTTCAATATATTCCAACACTGAGATCACATTGTGAGATGTATTCAGACAATATGTCAGCACTTCAACCAGGACTGAAAGGGGAAAAAATGCAGACACAATTAATTGAGAAACCTTACCCGGTGAAGCCCATTTCTTCCATAGCCTGGGAGAGAAGAGGTTTTTGATGACAGAGCACGTGACGCTGAATGAGAAAAAAGTAAAAAAGCAACTGTTAGGAAACTGCAAGTCCAATTCTTTAAGAAATTGGCAGTGTATCTTCTACCTTGTAGAACAGAAGATTTAGAAAAAATAATCCAAATAACATTGGGCTCAAATGTTCACAAAATGCTGCCATATTTAGGTGACACAGGGAGTGGGTAGGCAGTGACATTCCTGAGGAGGGGTGGGGAAGGAAGAAGCGCTCAGCATGCATTATCTCTGAATCCTCAAACCCTAAGAAGACTATTCTTATTTCCATTTTACAGAATAAAAATTGAGGCTAAGAGAAGTTAAATATCTTGCCCAAGGTCGCTCACCTTGTAAATAGCTGAGCAACGATTTGAACCCAGGGCTATTTGAATCTATAAGCCCATGCCCCAGTTGGTACGGCAGCAGTAACTGACCTGGAAGCCAACCAGGTAAGTTATCAAGATCGACTGGCCAAGCACAGTCGGACTCCCGGGAGGCCAGGGACTGGGTGCACCACCCAGCAACAGCATGGCCGCCTCAGAAACTGCTGGGCTCTGGATGGAGCAGACCTGGGCTTCAATTCTGGCTCTACAGCTTAACACGTCTGCAACTTTGGGCATGCTATTTCCTCTTTTTATGTCTTCATTTCTTGACCCACGTAGGTATAGTACTATATACTCTTATAGAACAGAATTCAGAATTAGAAGGAACTCTAAAGATTAGTAAACCACCTAATCCAAGATCAATGCCAGTGAGGCATCTAGGAGAAGTTGCAGGGCATTCCAGCTAAGAGTGTGGGCTCTGGTTCTAATACTCGGACTCCTAAATCTTAGTTTTGCTAGTTATTAGCAATATGACACCAGGCAAATTACTTAAACTTCCTATCCCTGCCTTCTGCTTTACAAAATGGGGATGGTAATAATAATAATATCATTACTTCATTGGCATGTTGTGAAGATAAAGTGAAGTAACATTTAGCAAAAGTGCTTGCATATAGTAAACATTAAACCCATTTTTAAAGGAACCCCCAGGAAAGAAAATTATGCACTATTTCAGAACAAGGGAGAAGAAATCTTGTGGGTAAGAGAGAATTAGCTTATGACAAATATAAGCAGGGGAAAACATACTGATAGAATATTTCAGCCCAGTATATAAGTAATCTTCTTCAAAAGTATCAAAAACACCATTATAGCCCTCAGCTCTTATATTGAACATATTAATGTAAAATCATAATGCTTAGAAAATGTTGTGCATGCTTTCTACAGTCAAAAAGCATTCTTTGTTCTCTATCAGGATGTCCTTTTTGCTGCTTCCCTCTGAGATGAGTATTCTAGAAGGTAGACCTAGCACACGGGAACTCACTCCTCATGGTTCTTGAGATCCTCCAAGGGCTCCCCCATCTCCAGCAGGAAGGAAACCCACACTTAAGGAGGAAGCCCGGCATGCTTATAAGCTAAGTTGACATGAAGTGGGCTTTGCACACTTTCCTTCCTGTAGAACACTCTGTGGGTTCCACCAGAAATGGCTCTGCCTCTCCTGGAACAGTCAAGGCAGGCTCCTTGCAGGCAGGTGGCTGGCTGCTGGCCTGGGGAAGGCGGTGGGTCTGCTGCTCACCTGAGTTGATGGGAGAATCATAGCGACTGGCTGACAGGGATGACCTCTCCCGGCTCTCCTTCTCCATCTCTTCTTTCAATATCAACTGCCCCAGGCCTGAGTTGAGCTATTCACAATGAAAAGAAAAATGAAAGTGAAGCCTGCAATTACTTTCATGGAACTACAGTTTCTTTTTAGGAGATCCTGTAAGAAGTTCCAGATTCTGGAGAGGCCTGGATGCATTTAGTCCCAGAGCCTTGTGGTTCCGCAAGAAGTAGGCTAGGTTTTAGACCTTGAACCCCTCTTAGCCTTTTCAAGGTCAAGGCTCCATTTCCCCAAGCCAGGCTCCACGTCAGAAGAATGTTCTCCCTCCTTGTCCTCCCTAAAAGTGTCAGCAGGTAACCTCAGGAGGCATGAGTATGTGCAAATTTTTGATGTGGGAAGGGAAGATTGGGGCTAGTATCCTTAAAAAAGAAATTATACTGATTTGTTTAAAAACAAAGAAAAAAAAGTAATACATGCTCATTGTACAGATTTTAGAAAATCCAGAAGGAAAGAAGAGTAACCCCATAATTCACCACACAGAGACAACCACCATTCACATTTTGATTTATATCCATCCGTATTTTTCTATGTACATATTATACAAAACCGGGGTCATTCAATGAATGCAACTTTGTATCTCCCCCCTCCCCACATAACTAGTATCATATGCAGTTCCCATATGGTTAAGTACCTTTGGAAAACATCATTTGAAGGGTTTCATCAGTCCTCTATTGGTAGGAGCGTTTATAATTTCCTGGCTCCCTCTACCCCAGGCTAAAATTGGCCATCTTTTGTCTTCTGGGAGGCTGCAAGCCCATGCCAGAGATAGGAGAGTAGAATGAGGGCTTCTCAGTGGCAGTCTATTTTATCCCTTCCCTCCTGGCCCAGGTATACACACAAAGTCCAATGAATCCCGAGGGAAGACTTGGAGAAATGCTCAATCCCTAGGGAATTCCCTCAGCAGAGCCTACACGAGGGAAGGAAGGTGTTACACCTCAGTGTACCCTCCTACCTGGCTCTTCAGCAAACTTTCAACACTTGCCCTGCACACACATACCCCACACAGGGTCTCCTCCTCCTCCTCGCAGAAGCCCCAATACTCCACCTGCCTTTGACCTCCAGCCTCCAGGTCATCTCTTCCAGAACCTACTAAGTACTCTGTCTTATTATATTTAATCACTAGATGCCCATCTTATCTCACCTACGAGACTGCTAGCCCTGGAGGGCTGGGCCCATCTCCTCTTCATCTTGGTGGCTCACCCATAGTAGTCATTCAAAAAATATGAATCAAATGAAACTGAAGTGGACTGCAGCAAAATATTTTAAGGACAAACCTTCATTAACTGCTCTTCTTGAAGCTGCCGGCGTCTCAGAAGTTCCTCATCATCTTCCTCTCTGCCACTAGATCTGCGTCTCATGTCAGCTCCTAATTCCACAGCAAAGACAACTTCTCACATTAGCCTCATGGCAAGGGGATTTTAAGGGACTAGTTCACCTGTGCTCAACTTGTCAGGCTGTCAAAGTCAGCAGTGGTCTGGAACAATTTGTGAACAAAACAAGGCAAAAAAGAGCCTACCACCAATTCAACATGACTGGCTGGTTTCTTGAAACAACGGGCCCATTTGACAAGCCAGTTCAGTGTGTGATCCAGTAAGGGATGAAGTTTGGCCTCCCAACAATTGGTCTGCTCAATTAGAACTTGGGTTTGCTATTGCGATGGGGTCTAAGTCATCCCTTTGGTCATTGGTCAGAGCTCTCCACAGTAGGTGGGAAGGGCATCTATAGTTAATATTTTGAGGTCCCTTAGGTTAATTTTCAAATAGAGAGGAATTCAAACTCATTTACATACCATCAAATAGGTAAGACAGTCACTCCCTTGTGACAAGTTTTAAAATTTTGTATTTTTCTCTTTTCTGAATATTTAGACTTGTCATCACCCTGTCTTCTACCCTTACTAAATTCATTACAAGCATGCTTTTTTATTTTTCTCTTAAGGGATGGGCCTCTAATGTTTCCTTTTTCTCAATCCTTTGAAAAATGGCCACAAGAGTTTTATACTGATGGGTCAATAAAAAGTGTTAATACAGCCAAAATGCTACTTATTTCAGACCAATATAGCAGCTCTTGTACAATTTTTAAGCTTCCTGGAAAAGGGGAGATGGAGTAGAAAGAGGAATCTGTTTGAAAGATTAGGAAATTAAGATAAGTATTGTTTTTCCTAAATTGCTTGGATTAATCTGGCTGTGGGAGGTAACAGGAAAGCTTGCTAATCTAATCAAAACAAACTTTAACTAACAGTCTCAGTTTTTCTCATTTTGATTAATGGACTAGAAATTTTCTTCATTTTGGAACCCAAAAGAGCTTTAAACTATTTAGTGATGACAGTTTCAACAACAAAATTTTAACTCTCCCTCTCCCCACGTTTAGCTGCTGTAATATTGTAATTGCCATAACACTGTACTAAGCAATACGACCGAACCAGGCCCCTCAAAGACCCCAAGAACTGCCTGGAGGGTAGAGACTGGGAGGGGAAAGTTGATGACTGATTCCTAGTTCCTCAAATCATAAACGTCAATGTGAATTTTCTCTCTTTAATCTATACTAATAAAAATTAATAGACACAAGTCTGCAAGAATTAGAGAAATCTCAGGTCAATATAATGTATAGAATACTTGTGAATAATGAACCCAGAAGGCAGATTTTCCCTTACCTAGTTCACACATATAAATTGCTTTAAAATCCACTTATATTGCTTTTAAAAGTTATTCCCAAAATAACCTGATGAAAAATAGCATGATGAAGAAAATTTAGAAAATTGAAGGCCTTTTAGGTTGTCAATTGAAATGTGATAAGATAGTCATATCTTTGTAAAGTTGACTCGCTAAATTTTCAGTATTTGCTTCTGAGTTTCGTAATACCACTTTTTAGGCCAAGTGATTTCACTATTGACAAAACAGTACAGACACGGACACAATTCTGAAGCATAAATTTGTGGTTCAAAGCAAAGAATGAAACAGCTCAAATGTGACACTTTAGCACAGAATTCATGGAAATGACAGATGTAAACTCACGTAACTTTACACGAGTAGTATTTCAGCACACCCGCTACCCTGTAACAGCCCTTCTCAGTAATGGCACACGTGATCTTGCAGGAACAGCAAAAGTGCTTCAGTGTTAAGATTGGTTGTTAAGAGGATTGTAATTACAACCCAGAAATAGTCTAAAACAAATTTAACTGAAAGAAGTCACGCTTCTGTGGATACTTGGTAAATGCACCCACTAGACTCTAATTATACAGAATGATGTTCTTGCCAAAAGGCTTGGACTCCACTGTGTTCAAAAGAGTTACTGATTTTGCAGCAATAACTATGAGAGTCCACACAAATCACCAGTTTTAGATGCATCTCAGTGGGCCTGGTTAGAGCAAGGCTCTGGTGATTGTTTTTTTTGTAACTCTGAAGCATTCTACACACACCTTAATACCACATTAGTGCTTTTCACTATTCTACCTCTTGGTCATCCTTTTCTTAAACATCTTTAAGACAGGACACATTTTCTTGCATATTTTTAAGCATTTCGAGATCTCCTAGCCATTTGTCCATTTGGCTTAGCTGCAACAGTTGCATACCTACGGCGGCAAGTGAGGGGGGACCAGGCCAGTGGTCCGTCTCAATCTTTGGTGTCTCGCTGGGGTCTGGAGCCTGAGCTGCTGGAAACTTGGAAAACTTGATGATGTCTTCTGAAGACCTGCTCTGGGCTGCCAGGGCAGCTGCATCTAGGCGGGAATCAGGGGGAGCTTAGCTATCAGTCTGCAAGGCCGTGGTGGTACCACCCCACTTACATAGTTTTTCTTGTTCTCTGGCAAAAGTTTCCACTCCAGAAACTCTGGTTATCACCATTATCAATTGCCCAGTCACTCAGTGGTGCCTAGTGACAACTCAACTCATTTTCCTTTTGTTCCTTCGGAAGCCAAGTTTCATACCATGTCTGTTCTACATCTGGAAATCCTTGTTCAAGATCTGAGCTGTCCAATACTAGCTATGTGTGGTTATTTAAATTTAAATCAATAAAGTTAAATGAAATGAAAAAATTGCGAAAATTAAAATTCAGCCCCTCAATTGCACTAGCCACACTGTAAGTGTTCAACAGCCACATGAGATTAGTGGCTACTGTATTGGATGGCACAGTTACAGAAGATTTCCATCATCACAGAAGGTTCGATTGGATAATATTCTTCTAGAACAATTAGATATTTGAATTAGTAATTTGAAATTAAAGAGCTAAGTTAAAAGCATGATACTGTCATTTGAAGGCTGGCTGGTTTCATATCTTTGTGGATCCTTAGCCACTAATACGTTGGTCTAGTCGATTCTAATCCTTACATATTACTTATGTGTCCTTGAGTCCTAGGAGAAATGGAAATGGGAAAATCCACTTTCACCTTGCAGGAACTGAGCATTGTGACTTATGTATGCCATACCCACTCATAGTTTTGTTCAAGGGTCTGCACAGATGAGTGAGTCATCCAACTTTAAAACAACGAAAGCCAGACTAGCAGCAGCATTAGTCTGCAGAGTTCTTAAGGGCTCTGCTTAGAAGAGGAGTCATTGGCTTAGAGCCCCAAATCTAATCAAATCAAAACGAAACCAAACAAACCAGGTTAAATGGTCAGTCCCTGATTCTAGCTAATGTTGCAAACTGGCCTGGGATGTTACTCAACATTTCAAAATATATTTATAATGCTTTAAATAAAACTTTCCCCTCCCTGGCCTCACATAGTTTAAAATCTAGAAATAACTTTTTGAATTTTCAGCTCCAATTCCCCAATCTTTTAGTAGCCTTCTGGGTCTCGATTTTCTTGGGTAACTTGACCAAGGTCACTCCATATAATGACAAGAAGTAAAGTGTTGGCCAGGTATGGAACAGAGTTTCCCTGACTCTCTAACCTCATGAGAAAAAAGAGATAGAGCTTGGAAAACACTGCATACTGTATCCTCTTCTTAAAGGACAGAACACGTTAGCATATCAAAGACTGAGAAATTCTGCATTACCAAAAAAAAAAAAAAAGTTGACTTTATTTAAGTCTAGCATTTTCCAAATGCATCAGGGCACAGACACTAGTATTTTGGTATAACATCTCTATCTATCGCATGGAGCTGCTGTTTTGCAGAACGTCCTTTGGGAGGTGCTGCCCTGGTTGTGTTACTCTTAGTTAATCACAGTCTGAAAGTAAAATGTAAGGTTAAAATAAATTTCACGAAGCCAATTAATCTCTTCCCAATAAATAATCTAACATTATCTAATCTCTTTAAATCTTAATTATTTGATGACTTTTGTTTAGAGAGACAGGGCCTAGAGATTTTAGTATTTAAAAAAGTCTCTAAATTGATAAATCAAACTATGAGAATCTTATTCTTAAATTTAAAATGAAAAGCATGACTTCAAACAGTACTTACGCATTAGAATTGGTGAAGTCAGTAAACATTCACATGTTAATGAGTGGGTGAGAAGACATTAAACCATAAAAAAACAAACAAAAACAATGTCAACAAACTTAAAAGCAAGCACATGGTGTAAAATCTTAAAAAAAAAAAACAAATGAGGTTAAAAAATCATAGTTCTAGAACGATTACAATACATACTTTCTCTTTTCTCCCCTAGAATGTTGGCCTAAAACTTTTTCCTTGTGCATTTTCAACTTTATTTGCTTTTCACGTCATCCTAATCCTTAACGACTCATTAATGTCAACTGGATTCTAAGGGTAGCCTTCAAATTTCCAGGCACAATTTGTATTTAATTTTCTGAAATCACCTGAAGACTAATCTTGGCTTTCTATCCAGTCACAAAGATTTATGGCAGTTAAATCTACAGGGACCTCATAATGCTGGAGGAAAATGTGGCTTACATATGGTAATGTGATTTCCTGAGTTTAGAAATTTGTATTCCCAGAAAAGGAAAACATAATCATAAATCCACATCCTGATTCTTTGTTTGCAGGAATTTTAGAGACAAGCTGGCCTAACTCACTGGTTTTTGCAGATGAGAAAACTGAGGGACAGAGATGGGGTCCATGACATCACAGAGCCATTTAGGTGAAGAGCTGGGACCAGGGCTAGGACCTCTGTCTCAGTGTATGTCCCATCCACTCCACTGCAGAGCACAGATGTCCGCACGTCCCATAAGAAACTGGGGTTCTGTTCGGACAGTCAAGTTGATGCAGGCTTAGTCAAATTAACTTTTCTGGGTGGCTGGCTTTTACCAGTTTTAATTAGCCAAACTAATTGCAAGCTCATCAAAATTATTACAGAGGTTGGCTAAATTATTTGATGGCAGGAAAAAAAAAGTCATGTCAGGGTGTTTGTGAATTATTGTGTGGCCAGTACTTCCCCTTTTCTATTAATGGAATGATACATGGTTTGATGGGCTCAGAAATAGGTTAGGAGCTTCCTAACCAATTCTCCATCTAGGAAAACAATTTTACAATATTTGCATCTTAGGAGATTGTAGAGGCATACATAATAAGCTGTGCACCCCAGTTCGATTCTCAAAAGCAGCAGCAGATAAGTCTTTCAGAGGACAGCAAAGAGAAATTCAGCTGACCCTGCTACTTAAAAGCTACTTGGAGGAAAGTGGGTTTTACCATGCTGTTTGTAGATGGGTGGTTTTCGGTAAATGTTGATCCCTTGATCTGTGGAAATGAAAAGCAAAGGTGTGTGGTTATGGGAAACAGTCCAGCGATGGGAAAAACAGATCAATCAAGAGGCAAACCAAACTGAAGACTATTGAACAAAAATAACCCAGGAGGTTAACTTTCGTATTACAAAGATTGAACTTACTGGAAAAAGAGATAACAGGAATGAGCAAATACTATAGACAAGTGATATGGAATCCTTTGTAATACATCTTAGGATAGATAGAGATGTCATTAATTTATGAGCTATTCATTTCAAATACACACTTCGCTAAAAGTGGGATTAAAACAGGAAGAAATGCAAGCAGTGGAGGTACTTCAATGGTAAGAAAGACATAACCAGTTTGGGGAAAATCCCCAAATTGCTACTGTCTAGAAATTGAGCTCCCAGTAGATACCAATGGCTCAATTTACCTTTCAACCAATGAGTGGAACAGTGGAAAGCAATGTAGTAAAATAAAGAGTATATATATATTTAAACATAAAAACACTTTTTATGCACAAGGGTAGCCCGATGTGCTGACAGTATGCTTGACAAAATCCTAACTCATATAGGCCAAATTAAAAAAAGAAAAGAAAAGAAAGAGAAAGAAAAGAAATGCCAAATATTATTCATATATTTATACAGGACTCCATTTGGTTATGCTACCATTTCACTTTGACTGCAAATACTCAGGAAATTTCAAAAGTTTGTTTCTCCAGAATCTTGGGCACTGTATCTTGAGGGGCATTCTTCATGAGAAAAAGTCTCAAATGTAGAACACTGGTTTTCAAGCTTCAATGAAACTTTTTAAAAAAGGCAGTCCTATCTTAGTGATATGAATCTCATTGAACTTTCCTCTGTTTTATTAAGTTTGGAATGCAAAAGAAAAAACGATTACAAATTCCAAATATGTACACTAACATTAACATAATGGATAATTTATTAAACCACTTTCGTAGCTAAAAGAAGCAAAACGACGTACAGTCAAGCGTTGCATAACAACATTTCGGTCAATGATGGACTGCGTAGATGACAGGGTCCCATAAGATTAGTACCATGTAGACTAGGTGTGTAGTTGTCTGTGCCATCTAGGTTTGTGTAAATACACTCTATGATGTTTGCACAAAGATGAAATTGCCTAACGATGCATTTCTTAGAACATGACCTTATTGTTAAGCAATGCATGACTGTACTTCCAATGGAAAAATAATATCGTGACTTCTGATAGGCAAACTTGCCTTTACAAATTGAGCTGACCTTATACATTAAGATATTGATGGGTTCTGACTTTTCCAGTTCCTGATGGCAAATTACTATTTGTAAACTGCGACAGTAAATGCTTGTGAGCACAGAGCGAAGCTTGCAGCACCAAGCCTAAATTGCAAGATACCTTTGTGGGCTACGGAGACTGGTTCGTTAGTTCTACCCTACAGAAAGACCACTCAGCTGATCCAATTCCACACCTCTCTGAAAAGAAAAGTTTGTGGAAAGAATCTCCACATTGGAGACAAACGGGAAAAATAAAAGTACTCTCAAGTGACGCTGTGGTTCAATATTTAGGAGGAGAAGATAACTAGATTGCCACTGTGATAATTGGTCAATGACACCAATCCACAGACTAATATCTTAGAAGGCACTAACATAAAGGACAAATGGAAACAAAACAAAACAACTCAACCCTCATTCCTTTACCCTCTGCCTCCCACTTCCCTTCAAAACATTTTGAGAAAACTTAAACCTTCAGTACAATTCTGGCATTTCACATATAAAACTTTCAAAAGGCCCTTTAGGTCAGATCCTGCAATTTAGGGTTTGTGGACTGGGTGCATCCCAATTAAAAGAGCATGAGAAATGGAGACGAGACAGAGGTAACAAGGCTACATTCTACACTGTGACAGGACACCAAGACACAGACCATGTCAGCTCCTACCTGGAACATGGAAATGTTTAGGGGCCTGAGCGTAAGTTGGAGTTAGAGGGCGGCTGTCTGGCCGGTAAGGGAGAGGGGAGTTCCGGCCGCTGCACGGCTCATTGCCTCCGATGAGAAGAATGGAGAAAACAAAATGAGAGAAGGGAGAGCAATAAAGAAAACAAAGCTAGCATAATAAAAATTCAAAACAATAAACTGGAAGGAGGTACATCAAAAAGGAGAAACAAAAGAAACAAACTCAATTTATCAACTTGGCTTGCAAAGGTGATATAAGGTTTTGTTTTCCAAAAAAGAGATTTGAGTTCAAGTGGAACCAGGTTAAAAGCAGCTAGCAGGAAGATGCGTCATTCCAATGGCATGCGGTTGGAGGCTGTGAGCTAGCAGCAAACTGATTAGATGGAAAGTCCATTAAGAGGAATGGAAAGTCACTTGCTAATGATTCAGGATCAGTCGTCAGATGGTTAAATCCCAAGCAGGTAAACGGGAGGAAGATGCAAACCCAAATACAATCACTTCCAGGCACGATGGCAGAGGCTGGCAATTGGAATACATTTCTCTGAATGGAGGGCTAAGTCTGGGAAGCTGTGCGGTCATCCAGTCCTTCCCATTAGCAACACAAAGTCTCTTCAATGAAGCATATGTTTCTGTTTCCTCACTTTGAAACACACACGATAAAGTCAGACCCCTTTCTCCAGGTCCTTTGGGACCAGTTATACCTCTTTCCACCATTCTCTTCAAAGGCACCACTGAAGTTCCATCCAGTCTAATAACTCCATCAATGAAACATTTACTAAACACCTACTATGGCTGGGCACTGAGCTATGACTGAGGATAAGGAGATGAATGAGATACAGTCCTTGCCTTCAAGGGGCTCAGAGTCTACCTAAGGAGACAGACTAAAGACACATAAATATAATATCACATAATTGCTTACTCAGAGATATATGAAAAATTCTATGACACTCCAATGAAGGTGCCATCGATTCTTCAGGAAGGCTACAGAAATGTGTTAGAATTGAGCTGGGCGCTGAAGAATCAGCTCATGAAGTGGGTGGTGAGCAGAGGGGTGGAAGGGCCCAGATTCCAGAGGGCTGGAGCATCATGAGGAAGGAAGAGCCATGGTATGTGACAGCAACCGGACTGGCCACTGTGGCTGGACAGCGTGGTGCTCTTGGAGGAGAGAATGGGGAAGAGGCTGGGAAGGATTGCTGGGGCTTGGCTGCAAAAGCCCTGAGTGTGACCATAGCCACCATCACTCCCTCTTGACCAGGAGAAGCGCAGGGATGGATGGAGGCTGGTGCAAAATTGGAAGGAGATCCGCTATTGCCCTAGACTGTCCTCCTACCCCATGTCTGAGCAAATATCTGCCCCACAAATACACCAGAAGATGTGGGACTATCAAAACTTAATGAATTAGTAATGTAATTACTTTTATGATTGAATTGTAACAGTTCTTTACATATTCTGGATAAAGTCCCTTATCAGATATATGATTTGCAAATATTTTGCCCTATTCTGAGGGTTGTCTTTTACTTTCTTGATAGTATCCTTTGAAGCACAGAAGTTTTTAATTTTGATAGTCTTATTTGTCAATTAATGCTAACAATTTTAAATAAATCATAGATCTTCAGAAAATAGAGCATGAGCCAACTTTTTTTTTACTTTGTCTTTTTAAATTATTTTTTTAAATGGAGATAAAATTGACATATAACATTGTATTACTATTAGGTGTACAAGAGCCAGTTTCTTTAGGTAAGTCAAACTCTTCTAAATCTGGCCAGCAAAGTATGAAAGATGTCAGTTGCTGGAGTTTTAAACTAAAATATTTGAGTTTTAATTTCTCAATATGTATATTTTTAGGTAACCAGAGCACAGATCTGTACCAATGAGCAGTAAGATTTTCTGAATGTGAGATCTGAAATTGTTACTGTCTCAAATTTAGATTCCAGGTTTTTGGTTATTGTGTTCTAAAACTTTTGCCTTTTTTTCCTCAAGAGTCAGTTAGCATCTAGCTCCCAATATATAATGTAGAATTTACAACTTAAGTCAGATATTAGCTTCTAAAAATTATGAAGCTTCACCCCAAACTTGATCTACTAAAAGGCCAATTTAAAAAAATGTTATCACATTTACTGTCACTCTCCTAAAGAGAAATAACCAGCTCCTGTCTGAAAAAAGGACTACAAAAAGCACAGGTAGAGGCAAGTAGAGAAGGAAGGATATAGTTTATGTTTAGAAGCAAATTCTGTTTTCAATTAATGGCTGAATTAGAACTGGGTCTCATTCATCTCTGTGTGCTCAGCATGGTGCCTGGCCAAGAGTAAGTGGAATAAATGTCTGTGAATGAATGACTGAAGTAGGCCAACTAATTAATTCTACGGCCATTAATGGCCTAATTCAGTAAGCACCACTGCTGGGTTAACCACCATCTTTCTCAGATCTCTTAATTCAAGGCAGCCAGATGCTAGTATACAGCAACCCCCTTTTGAAAGCACCCCCTTTGGATAACTTTCCCATTAGAGTTAATCCTCGACAACCCCAATTTAGTGGCGTCACTTTAGAAGAATTCTTTACTCCTATAAACATTACAAACTATTCACAAGAGTTATCCATACTTGAACAGCTATTCTTGGGGGCTATTCTCTAAGGGAGGTCTAGAGAACCTCAACTTTCCTGCCTTATTTGAGGTCGTCTTTTGAAGACTCTTCCTGTGGATCCTGAGCAGTGGCTGCTCCTGCTTCTGAACCACACTGCTGCCTGCGCTTCACCCTTCACCTCTAACCTTCCTGCACTTGTAGAATGTCAGGTATTTCAGGGCAATGTTTGCACACGTTTTGCTTTTAATACCTAATCAGATGAAACACCATTAAATTTGTTTTGATAATTATTAGCTAGTATCATGCACACACAAAAGTATCTTCATATACGGGACACAAAGGTTGAAGGTTATTAGAATCAGCATTTGCCCAAATATCAAACTTTTTCTGTCTTTATGCTGGCAAGTGGCAGTACAAGCTGCTCACTTCTTGGATATGGCTGACAACTCTCAAGGGCCATGGAGTGGCTGTGTGAATTCCCAGTAGGTGAATTCTGGCTCAATGCGGTCTCCAGGTGGGTGTAGTTCTTTATTTGGCTGCAAATTTTGGCAACCATTGACCTTTCTAGTTGCTGGAAAAAGACTAGTACATTCAAGTCTTTGTAAGTAGATTTAACTCTAAATCCTTTAAAACCTTTCACAAAACATTTTAAAACACTAGGCAAAGAGAGACTCACGAACACATCCATCTAAGGGATTCTGCACATAACGGTTCCCACACGTCACAACAGCTCATTGGGGAATAAGGTCTGGGAACACAGACTCTTGCTAGGTACCACATTCTTAGCCCTTGAAATACTAAAGGCATTAAAAATTCTGGCACTTTTAAAAGAAAGAGAAAAATTCTCAAGATGAGGTCTCTATCCCTTTTCTAACATTCTAAATGATACAACTTTCCACTCTGATGATGGTCCCAAAAGGTTATTTTTGCGCTTAGTTCATTACTTAGGCAAACTAATGTATGAGACATCAGAGGAAATATCATATGTGGAAGGTGTTATTATTACTATCATCATCATCTATCAGCCTGGAGTTAAGACACTGTTTAAAAATAATAGTGTATATATCATGTAATATTGTATATGTCACACTCATAGCCATTTTGTTTCTTCAAATAAGTCCTTGTACTCACTCTAGTTGAGTTGTCATCTTAGCTACTGTGATGAGAAGCTACCTACATATATATATATATATATATATATATATATGTTTCTATATATTTCTTGGCCTTCATTTCTGGCTCCTACCATGTCACCCTAATAAGCTAATTTTCCAGTCCTTTGGAGATCATTCACTTGCAGGATTCTCACTGTACTTTACAAATTCACTTTCATTCTCTCTCTCTCTCTCTTTTTTTTTTGTGAGGAAGACTGGCCCTGAGCTAACATCTGTGCCAATCTTCCTCTGTTTTGTATCTGGGATGCCACGACGGCACGGCTTGATGAGTGGTATGTAGGTCTGCGCCCAGGATCCGAACCTGCAAACCCTGGGCCGACAAAGGGGAGCTAGTGAACTTAACCACTATGCCACTAGGCCAGCCTCACTTTCATTCTTCTTTCTGGCACCCAGACAGCCTAAGCGACCAATTCTAAGACAAGTAAACTGAAAGGGCTGTGCATGTGTCTGCTGTGGGATCCTGCTGGAACACTGCTCAGCTTTCCGGACTCTTTAAGTGCTTTTATTCCAAAAGATAAATGAATATTTTGAGGGGACCTTAGAATTGGCAGCATCTAGAATTTCATGACAGAGTTTCCAGATTGCTCATTCTTGCCTAAAACTTCAATAACAGTTATGGTTTCCTTCAGCAAGTGTCAAGTACACATTTACATCATAACAACTCATATCTATAGCAAAACATGGAAGATTCCCTTCAAAGAGACTTAATGTATGTAGCCCTCCTGTTCACAAATCTGATTTATACTTCACGGAGACAGAACGTAATGTCTAACAGTATTTCAAAGGGGAGGGAAGAGAAACTCAGCAAACATGGTACAAAGCCCCAAATGAAGTGAAAACAGTTTTTCCAAATCTCTAGACATGCACTTGCCCAAATGACCCAACAATGATATATGAATATAGTATGAGAGAGAAGAAATAAAAACGCACCCCAAAACAAGATGGACATTACAGAAAGGGGATGGGGAAGCCAGTGAAATAGAGAGACAGCCTGTGATGTGTGTGTCAGTTTTACACCCATGCAGGCATCCTCAGCTCCAAGGACGCTGGAGGCCTGGGCCACATGCATCAGAAACAAGGACCAGGAAGTGCATTGGGCAACAGGAGGCTGGGTTTCTGGCTGCCAGGGTGATAAAGGGTCCCCTGCTTCTATCTACACATTTCTGAGATGGACATCCTACTCTGGGGTCCTCAAGCTCTTCAGCTTACATTTGTTTTAAAAATAACTTCCCTGAGATCACAAGATAAATGACAAGCTCCAAGATAAAAACTAAATATTCGAATGAAGGGCCATGGAAAACCCTGGGAGACTGTACCCCATGTTTTCTGAAATGGCTATAAGTTCCCTCTGTGCTGAAATTGCAAGTGCTAGAGAGGCCTTCCATGTAAATGGATGCATGCTTTTCAAAATAACTAAGAAGTAATTCTTTGGAGAATAGCATTTAGCTATTCAACTATAATAGGCTTTTAAAGCAATGTCTTTAATATACAAATTCGCCATGATTTATTTTGTAGTTTAGCAAAAAGCTTATCTGATTTTAAAACTGAGCATATACTGTTTTGTAGATTATATTTTGCAACTGAAGTATACAAACTATTTCATACGAACAAACAATAGGCATATGTCCAGTAAAAAGAAAATGGGAGAGGATCTATTAGATGTCTTTAAGTGTAAGCTCAGGGTCACCCTAATTCCTCTTGGCCTAATGCTTTTCGTAATTTAAACTCATAATATCTGGCTGTGTCAAAACCCTCAAATTCAGACTAAAACCAAAAAAGAATGTATATCTACATTCTTAATAAAGCACCATCTAGGCACATAGAGGTGCTGTAATTTTTATAACTATTTGGCATTTTTACTAAAAAGTAAAAATCTGTTAATTTTGTAATTTAAATGTCTCAAAGTCGCTGTTCCTCTTAGCCCCAATAAGAATGCAGTTTTCTAGTTAAAAAGAGATGGAAAGTCAAAGTTTGCTTTAAAAGTTATACTTCATGTATATTTAAAATGAAACACACATATACCTAACAGGAATGAGGGATGAGAAGGCCTGGGGTCTGGTGTAGGTTCTGCCACTTCCTAGCTGTGAGCCCTTAGCTGGGTCACTTAACCAGCGCCCCCTGCTCTTCATATCCCCCCGGGCGTATTTCACAGGGATGCTGAGAATGGGGGTGGGGGAGGGGAATCACAGACAGATGTAACTGAGTGCTCACTACACACCAGGGCACTTTACTTCACACCCCCTACTGACCTAGAAGAGGTTTTATACACGAGGTAAGTGACACTCAAAAGGTCAAGTCAACAACGCAAGGTCTCACAGCTAGCAAGTGACAGAGAATATTCAAACCCAGGACTCCAGTGTCTGCTTGGGGTTCCATCTCCCCATAGGCTGTTCACAGACACAAGATATTGTGAGTTTTGATGTTTTGTGATGTGTTATTTGTACAAACTTTAAATAACTTTACTGGGCACATGACATTGTTCTTCTTACAAAACGTTATCTCTTCTGAAAGATGAAACATAATAACTGAACAAGGCAGTTTACATTTTAATGCATTAAAAAGTGTATTTTCTCTTACATATAAGAAATAAACAAATAAAAAAATCTTAATTTGGTCAAGGGCTTCTATATTAAAGTCTCTTTAAAATACACCTCTGAATTTTTTTTCAATGATTTCTGATGGTTTTATAAACATTCTTTAAAGTATCCTCTTGACATCTAGCTAATAAAAGGTATTTTCCCAAAAAACACTAATTAGCAGTAATAATTTTAAATAATCTGTCAAGAATTTTAGAAAGTGCTGTGCTTACTGGGAAAGAGTGATTTCTTCACTAATGGCAAATGATGTGTGCCTTCACTAAGCATGTCAGCAATATTATTTTTACAGTACAGAAAATGCTAAAACAGCACACTTATAAAATAACTGCATACTGATGAGTATAGTACATTTATATTTTAGGACTCAAAAATCCAAGTGAGCAGAAAGCAAATAGCTTGGGTAGATGGAAATGAAGGTTCAGTCAAGGAGAACAACACAGAAGCTACTCGATAGAAGCATTAGTGATGTGAGCACTTGGAACTCAGGATTAGAATCCTGTGGGTCTGTTTTAAGACCCATGACAACATCTGTGTTTGCCTGTTACTCCCTCCTTCAGCTATTTTCGTTAATTAATTTGGTTCAAATCAAGATGATGGAAAGAGTTAGCCTCCTTTTGGGAGCTTATACTTATTTTAAATTATGGCCCCTTCATAATCCCTTCAGGGCTCCTGGCTCTCCCAACCCGTGGCGGGAACAGGAACTCCGATTGAGGACTGCTACAGAAGCGTAATGGACAATGAGGAAAACAATGGGAATGCCATAAAGGGAATGGGGAGAAACGTGGGGCAAGAACAGAAAACAAAAGGCAAAGTCCCTCTTCCCCATCATGCAAAAATCAGGACAAATCAAAAGAAGATTCCTCTAAGAGCTGGCTCAAGGAGAGAAATTTAAGTTATGTTGCCATAGATCTTTTACACTGTCCAAAAGTTTTAATATTGTGAAGTGGTTAAGTGGCTTATCACCATTTAGACAACTTTTGGATATTTGTTGCTAAATACCGTTGTGTTTTGCTGAGCCATATCACATACCCAAACCAGGAAAATATCCCAACTATATATTATATTTTGCTTTCGACACAGAGAAAAACAAAATAATAATATATATTTTTCTAAGCAGTGGATAATAAATCTTATGGTCTTAAACATACTTCCTGTTTCTTCATCTAGAGCCCTTAGAAGTGACATATTTCTCCTAAAGAGAGATGCCATGCCAGTTCTAAGACACTCTTGGGTGTAGTCATGACACACGCAGGCATGCTGAGAGGTCCAAAGCTCGGAGCTAACTCTTGGGGATGCACCTTATTAGCCTTCCCAAGGTTCTAATAAATGTCCACTACGCAGGGTGCTGCCTGAGAAGCCTGCCTCCTTACCTTTGATATGGGGAATGAAGTGGTGTCGAAAGGGGGAGTTGGGGCGGGAGTCGCTGTGGGTGGAGCTGAGGCTGCTGGTGCGCAGGTGGGACAACCTCTGCACACCAGGAGACAGCAGCTCTGTGCGGCAAGGAGTCAGGGGCAGGGCAAGGTGGAAACAGAAAAGAAGAGCAGATATTAACACAGGAGCAGGGACAACGGCATCGTTCCGAGGGAAAAAAAATAAAGAACGTTAATCAGGAGTCTGAAAAAGGAGGAAGGAAGAAGGGTTAAGAATGCACCTGCTAAGGGTTAGGCAAAGTGGGGAGGATTTGCAAAAAGGGTGAGGTCGGTACAGAGGCACCCTCTGAGAATAAACTGCTTTAGTGAGAGGAAGGGGCACCAGGACATTCCCTGTCAGGATGATGCCAGCTACCGTTGTTGAGCTAGTAGCAGGCACAACATTTAGGCTCAAAAACAGCTGTTTTAGAAAAGCACCTGACAAAACAGAACCCTCCGAAACACACGTGAAAATAAAATGACAATCATTTCTAGACGCTTGAAAAGAAGTACTTATGCGTAAAGGTCAGATTCTTCTTTTCAAGCTGCAAACTTCTCCCCCTGGAAGTTTAATTTTATTTCGCCTACAGAGGAAAACCTGTCTGTGTCCCCTGGGTGACAAGAGCTCTTGTGATCTTGAGAATTGTGTAGTGGCAGCTCTGGGGAAGTGGAAACTTAGTTATCTCGGAAGAAGAATGCACCATTAAAACTCAACCCAGACCTCAGGGGTGCCCCTCATCACCTGGCATCTAGCGGAGATGGGGGGGTGATCCGAGGTGTTCTACACTGAGCACAGCTATGCTATCAGAACCCCCTTTTCGCTTTGGAAGAGTAGACCTCGAAAAAATACTAATAAACCCTAATAACTGGCATCATGCATATGTGTAATATATTGTGGAGGGAAAGGAGGAGGAGCGCTTGGAGTGGGGGATGTTCTGAAGGTTATTGGCATCAGAACCATGGAACAGACTAAAACTTCCTAGTGCTCAATAACGGTATGATCTTTAGGGAAACAATGTCCCTGACTGAGCCCTCTCTTGCTATGCAGGGCTCTCTGGAACAATAATTTCCCTGCAACCCACGTCCCACGTCACTATGACAAGTGTGGCCAGACTTGTGTGTTACTGACTGGAGACTCAGTGACCTCTGCATATGCCCATATGTAGGGGCGGCAGCATAAAGGATTTCTTGTCACCCAGATAGACAGGGCTTAACTCGAGACCCAGGTCCAGTGCACGAATAAAATGAAAATCGTTGTAGATGAAGAAAGAAAGGAATTCATTTCCTGAAAATTCTCATTTAACGTAACAACAAACAGTGAGTAAATATTTATGAGCCTAGAGAAAATTATACCTTTGAAGGATCAAATAGTAAAAATTCAAGGCTCTACAAGCATTAAATCCATGTCTTTAAAGAGAAGATTGCAGCCTTTGTATATTCTGTTCATTTCCTTTGGTTTTATTTTATAAAATACGTTAGCATATGAATGGGTTTGTTCTCATTAGCCTGTGCAGAAGCAAGAAGCTTAAAATGAAATCTTCATAGATGTACATCATCACTACCAAGTTTGTTTAGAAGGCCAAAGTCTTTCTTTGTGAATCTATTTCTCAGAGCTTCCTGGATCTGTGCTGGCATTCTTTCCCTACTCCACGTATGAGACACCCACTAACAGCAGCAGGGACTAAATTCTGCTCAGATAAAGGTCAACTGAAGTCCACAACTATTTAATATTCTCTACCGCAATACATCTCTAATGTTTTTCTGTTTTCCAAGTCTGATTCAAAATCTTAGGGTTGGAAGGGATCTTAAAAGTCATCAAACACAACCCTGAGGTTGTACACAATACTTCCTTCTAGAAGGTGCTTAGCCAAACATGCTTAGTAATACCACATGCCAGGATAGGGAAAATATAATAAACCCACAAATAAATGCTAATACTGGATTTTAGATGACGCTGATATGCCTAAAAAGCACATCAAAATATTTTCTTTTGGAGATCTTCATTTTAAGTCTCAAAGTGAGGAGATTTTCTTCAAGTCTAAAAAAAAAAAATCTCCCTTCCTTCTAGTCATTCACTGTCAAAATGTAATTATTTAATAAATCATAATGAATACAACTATAAAATCACTCGTTTCAACAAAAGATAGAACACAAAACATAGTTGGATATGAGTTTCTTTTCTTTTCTAGGAGAGGGGTAGATCTATTTGGTAGCCAGACTTTTTAATGCACTATCAGTGGGAAAAAAATCACAGAGAAACACAGATTATTATACAGAATGAATCCTAGGAACAGATGCCCTTACCGGGTCTGTGAAAATGCTGGGGAGAGCGAGACGTGGTTGGGGTATAGCTGTGGCGGCTGTACCCGGGGGAGTTGATGGAGCCCTGGCTGGTGGAGCGGTGGATCATCCGATCCCGAACGTCCTGGTACCCCTGGGAACAGAGAACGAGAAAGCAAGAGAACAAAATGTACATTCAGGTTATCAACACGTTCAAGTAAAATCGAGTTCCACAAAAGTTCCCAGGACCTATCATGTCTATGTTTTAGGGCCATATTCCTTAACTATGTATGCAGACAAGCATTCCACGGTTAATGCATTTTGTTCAAAGTCTGCAGTACTTGCATTTATCAAAATTTTAAGATGTAAAAATTATAAACCCCAATGTTGATAGAGCTCTGGGAAAAGAGGGAATAATTCCAATGACCACTTTTATATTGTGCTTTTCAGTTTTACAGAGTGTGCTCATGTATATTTTATCAGATATGCATAATAAGGAAGGTAGAAAACATGGAATTAGCTCCCTTCTCCCCTAATACAGACTGTTTCAGAAGGCTCCAAGCAGGCGAGAAACTGTGTGCAGGGGTGTAGCTCGTACAGGCAGAGCCTGCTTCAGAACCAGCCTCCAGACTCTAATCTCACCCCCCTACTCTGACCACCAACCCACACTGTCCACAGAACTGATCTGGGGATATTTCAAGTTGATTTTCCTGGAGAACATGCTGGTGGTGGCCTCAAACCCAGTAATTCTACTCCCAATTATTCCAAGGGAAACATATTCCAAGGAAATAATAAAAAATAGTCTTTAAATGGAAAAGTATAGTCAAAGATATTTGTAATACCACCATTTATAAAGACAAAACTGTGTATTACACGCTCAACAAATTGGGGAATGACTAAGTACATTATAGTACAGCAATGCAATGGAATATGATAGCACCACTAATATGTCACCTACGTCCACTTCTAGAAAGGAATATATTAGGTATTAAATACAAAAAAATCACACACACACCAACATAATACAAAACTGTTAAAACAATTAGAAGAGTACAAGGAATGTTTTAAATTTTAGGAATTTGATGTCTTATGAAGTTTCCACTAGTGTATGCTGGGTCAGACCTTGGTGCTGGACCACACTCAGATTTGGGTCAGTCTGAGCTTGGGCCACTAGCCTCAAAGCCACCCCTCAAGGGAAGAATTATGCAGGGGCACCAGAAAGTACTTCTATGGTTTCTGGTCACCAAGTAGGTGGTCAATGTTGCGGGAGGGCAAAACCAAGCACCTAATGAAACCAGAGGGTATGGGGTGAAGGAGTTGTTTCATTTTGCAGATCAGTACCATCAGCTTCCTGAAGAACCTTTACTCAAATGGGTTGTGAAAGTAACTAATATAGGGGCTGCCTTTAGTGTTGAATGCTGCAGAGTGGACGAGCATGTTTGGGCTGGTAAGGGACCCATGGCTCACTAGTGTACAATCACCGATGGCTCTATGTGAACCAGACACTTAGCAGGTTATCCCTGAGGGAACAGCCAGCCTGGTCGACTGGATAAAAGCCACTGTAAGGTCTGTTTACCCTGAGAAGGAGGAGAATAATATTGATTTTAGACTTAAAAGGAATGGCCTTCCAAGACGATGGCTCTGCTTACAGAATACACTATGACCGCTCTTGCCATTTCAGATGAACCAGTAGATTAGGATGCAGGTCAACTAATTATGGACGAGGGGAGAGAGCCCCACGTTGGGACAAGCAGCTTCACTCTCTGCAAACCCTTTCCTGCCACTTAGAGGAATAGGTTCCCATCAGCGTAAGGCTGTTTTCACCCCCCAGTCTCCATTTAAAAAGAAATTTCCTGCTGTGTCTTATAGTCACATCACACAAGTAAGGGATCCTGCGTTCGTCATAACCTTGCACAGTTTTTCTGTTCTTTTGTTTACTGTCCTTTTTAAAAAATTCCAGCCTAGGAAAGGTCCAAATAACTCCCCAAATCCACCCATTATAATTTTCAACAATGGCACTTACTTCTGCTGATGGAGTAGGAGACAAAGTCCTTGGAGACTAGAAGAATAAAAGAGAATTTAAATTAACTCGTTGTCAGTTTACTTAGAGTTGTTTATCAGAATCCCCTGGAAGCACTACTCAAAGTACAGATGCCAGCCACCTCTGGCGCATCTCCCATCTTCTGATTCAGTAAGTTGAGAGCGGGGATCAGACTGGTACACATGACAAAGCTCCTGGGAGACTCTGCACGTGGCTCTGCTGAAGAACCATGGTTTTGAGAATACGTTGTGATGCTTTAGGTGTTTAAGTTAGACAGACTGGAACTATTTCCCTTAGATGCTCAAGCCATGCTCAGTTTACTATTATGAGTTACAGTGTCTGCTGAAATACAGAATTTTGTAAACATGGTTGTTGACTAAATTTTAACCACAGCAATCACATAAAATAGTTTGATGACTAAAATAGGTGTGTGATGACTAGGTCTGTGGTATCCTGCCCTGGTGGCCTTGCCAACCTCCTCACCATTCACCTTCTCGTTTCCCTCCTTCCAGGCACACAGGTCTTCCTTGGGGCAATCAACAGACCAAGCCCTCTCTCACCTCAGGGCCTTTGCACTTGCTGCCCCCTCTGCCAGCAGTGCTTTGCACTCAGACACCAGCAGGGCTCACTCTCCATTTTCAGTGAGGTCTCTCCTCAACTGCACCACCACCCAGTGCCTTCTGTGACCCTCCAATTTAACAACCAACCGGGCCCCGGCATGCATTCTCCTCACTCTGCTTCATCTTCCTCACAGCACTCTCGCTCTATAAAATCAGATTACATCCCTATTTGTTTATCGTCTGTCTCCCACATTACACTGCAGGCTCCAGGAGGGTAAGGACTCCATTCATTTACAACTAAGTATTCCCTGTGACTACGGCAGCTCCTGGTACATATTAGGCCAGGTCTGCCCCCGCTAACAGCAGGCTTCTGGATTCACCCTACTCATGCCTTCTGAAGGCACAAATGGCTACACAGAGCTTCAAGTGTACTCTTCCAGTGTTTCTAAAGTGGCCCGATGTGGAGTCTATGAAAGAAGTGTAAATAACTAAAGGAATAAATAATCAAATAGCTTGTAAAGTTTTCTAAGTCGCAAGGCCCATGTGTGTGGGAAGAGTGCAGTAATATGCCTGATTTCTGATCCGGGGGCATCTTCCCACCAAGATTCTATGCTCAGGGAAACTGGCAGGTCATCATTCCAGGTTATGACAGTAACGATGCTGATTATGAAAACAGCCAGCACTTTTATTGAGCTCTTATTCCATGCCAGGTACCGTTCTAATTTAAACATTTCACTTAATTCTTACAGAAAACCTCTTAGGTAGGTACTATTATTATCTTGAGTTCATAGAGAAGGAGATTGAAATACGTACTTTTCCCAAAGTCGTATGGTTAGTAAATATGAGAGTCTGGTTCCAAACCCAGAAATGTTTACTTCAAAGCCCAAACTCTTGAGTCATGTTTTACTGCCCAACATGGAGCCACTGGAAAGCACACAGAAATACAGACACTCTCCCGCCAAGCCTCCTAAAACAACTCACCTCCCCCTTGTTTGTATGATTTGAACACTAGGAAATTCTCATCCATTTGCTCCAGGACCAGCTCCTGTGCACTCTGCTCAGGAAGCTTCCTTGCCCTTTATCCCTTATGAAACTCTCCAGGGCCCAATGGCAGCTAAACAACGCAGGCCAGTCAACCTGCCCTTGAGAGCTGTTGCAGGTGCAGTTATAGCTATGTGACCACTAGGTGGCACTACAGGAAAACGGATACCACTTCCTGCCCAATGGACCGTTTCAATGCTGAGCTACCGCTCTGGAATAAAACCCAGATTGGACAATAGATAAATAAAAAGAACAATGTATATTATAATTATAAATGAATATAAACATCGTCATAAAACGATAAATATTATATATATTATTCAGAACAAATTAATAGAATTTTTCATGCCTTTTCTTCATCTATGACCTCAAAGCACCGTGTGATGCTATAGATAGTTTACAGTCTGTTTTAACCTTGGTTGAATGGCTGATTTTGATCCACTACTTGGGTAACATCTGATTGGACTTAAAGCAGTCTACAGATGATTCTAATTAAAAAAAATTAAAGGGGAAAAACATTTAGACTGAGTTGAATAAGCCAAGGGGAACAGACCAGAGCCCATGGGACCTGGGTAGGGGGTGACAGCAGGGAACCCCAACCCTGAGAGGGAAGGGGAGGACCTCAAGGGGCTGGGAGGCTGTGCTCCAGTCTCTGGATCATTAACGCGGGGAGAGCATTAATAAGCCCCAAGAAGAAACGTGAAAACAACAGTAGTAGCTGTGACTTGCTGAACATTTACGATGAGTCTGGTTCCCTGCTAATTGCTTTAATAGATTAGTTTATATAGGCTAGCTTTAATAGATAATAAATTACCTAGATATTATATAGATATTAATCTTTAATAGATAGTTTATTTAATTCTAACACCCTATGAGATAGATTCTGTCTGTTTTTCAGATGAGGAAACTAGGTCAGAATGCTTGTCACATGGCCAAAGTCACACAAACAGCATGTGGAGCCCCTGGGTTGAGCCCAGAACCATGGCTGGTACCACTGTGCTATACTGTGGCCCCCAATCTCTCTACTCTCTCTGTTCTTGCACATTCTAACTATCTTAGGATGCTGAAAACTGCAGCTGTCAAAATTTAGGGTGTACACTCTCTCTCCTCATGATCCCCATGAATATATTTCAGCTTGTCTCAAGACCAAGACCCCCCAGGGGACCCTCCCTCCCTCATTCCCTGTGCCCAGCTCACAGACTCTCCCCTGACAACTTCAGCTTCCTTCCCAGAATGCTGGCTCTGCTCTCCTACAACCTGATCCTCACGCTTATTCATCCTCACTGTTGGTTTCTGTGGTTGGCCTCTCCCACCTCTCGGTAACCTCCTGAGGGCAGGGATGGTGCCACAGGCTTTTTAGTACCTCAAAGCACCTGGGATGGAAGCCTGCAAATAGTAGGCAATCAAAAGGACCACCTGATTTATTCTGACTCCAATCAGTAGTTTTATACATGTGACAAAAGAGAAGAAAGTTGTCGTACAACTCACAACTTCTAAGAATTGATTACCTCTCCCAGGCTCTGTCTGTCCTGTTTGTCATCATAGCCCGAAGAGTAGAAATGCTCATAGGTAATAAGATCTGGACGTTCAATATCATAAATTGCCTTGACCTTGGGAATGGCTGCTAAATCCTTGTAATCCAGGATTTCGTTGTCCACTTTTGCCTGGAAAAGTTAAACAGAAAGAAAAATTACTCTATAGTCTCATTTCTTCAGGGAACTATTGTCAGTGCATTTCATGTCTTGCTCAAAAAGTGAAGACCTTAAAAATAAACAAAGACCAAAACACTTTGCTTAGCACGGTCATACTTTGTAGGAAGTTGCCCATTTATACCATTTATTGATTGTTTTTAAAACCAAGTCACCAAAAGCTTAGGAAAAGACTATGCAGCATTCATCAAGTAGAGAAGACTGTAAAGCTTTAGGATAATTTCCTAAGTTTATTACGGAAAAGCAAAAGCTCAAACAGATGGTCAAAATATCCTCCCAGATGGCTAAAAACAAGAACTGCATGTCTAATAAACTAAATATTTAAATATCTTTGTGGCAGAATTTAAGAACACTCAGTATCAGCATTATAAAATGTAGAATTAACCTCTAATATCTGCATGCATGTTAGGCACAACAGTTTTTTAAGTCCTGCATCATGTCACTGCATTTTACAGGTCATCTACTCGATCACGCCACTGATGGTCACGTTCACTTATAAATTTAATTATCTGAAGGAAAACGTGATTGAGAATGCTGATCTACAAAAATGAAAATCGGATCTCACAACAGAAATAGAAATCCTCTGAATTAGCTTCTATTTTGGATTACCCACTGCACTCTGACAATCTCCTACCTTACCTGTCCCGAAAACGTCTCTTCCAGAAGTAGATACTTACATAGATAGTGTGACCTGGCGAGCCAGGGATACTGGAGCCTGGTCTAGAATAAATGCTTTCCGAGGAAGTCCTGGTAGGCTGTAAAATAAACAGTGACTTGTAAGATTTCAGACCCTGGCTTCAGAATCTGGACTGGCCTGAGTCCCTAAGCTTTACTAAAAAACTAAGCTGGTTAAAAAGGAAAGATTTGTGACTTTTGTGATGAAAGGCCAATACAGCTTAGAAGGAAAGATAAATGAAAACTAGTTGTGCAAGCCAGCCTTGAAAATGCATTTGGGGTCTTCCTTTTTACCTGCTCTTCCTTGCTCCCCACAAGGCCTTCTGGCTCTACCTTCGCACACATTTCTCTCCATCTCCATTCCCAGGATCCTGGCCCCAGTCATCACCTCGGCTCGCCTGGACTACTGCAATGGCCTCCTCTGTGGGTTTCCTGTCTTCACTCTTGCTCTCTTCAAATCCACTTGGCACCCACCAGCCAGAGAAGGCTTTTAAGAACATAATTTGGACTGTCACTATCCTGTTTTTGGCATCAGTGTCCACTTAGAATAAAACCACATCTCCCAGACCTCAGGATTTTGTCCCTGCCTTCCTCTCCAACTCTATCACTCACTAGCCCCCATCGCTCATGGGACACGGTGCCCGTCCCTGCTTCAGGGTTCTTAGCCTTGCTGCTCCCTCTGCCTGAAATGCTGTGAGCTCATTTCACTTGGCTGTTATTTTTCCTCCTTCCATCTTGGCTTAACTATCACCTCCTCAAAGAAGCCTTCCCTAATCTTTCAATGCAGAGTTGGTTCTCTCTGTTATTTTCTCTAACAAAACTTGTAACTCCAGATTTATTGGTTTCCTTGCATCATGTCTATCTCCATGATTAACTTTAGCTATGATCTCTGTCCTCATAGGGCTTATTTTTTCACCACTGACTATGCCCAATGTTTTGCACAGGTACTCAGAAGACATAAATGTTTGTTGAGGAAATGAGCTAGAATTTATTACTTGTAAACAAATACTCAGTTTGTGGACAGTTGACTCATGTTAATGACATGATTTGAACCTAGCCTCATGGAGAGTCACTGAAGTAAGCTTAGTGGTTGGCCACTGGGGAAGGTAAAAGAAACGGGACTTTATAATATATGCTTGGAGAACTCTGAGGGCGAGTGGTGGTCATAGGAGTGGGAGGGGAAAGTATAAGCCAGGATTAACTGCCTCCTACCTCTGCTTAGCATATTCTGGAAAGCTCTGCAAAGAAAACTGAAGGCCTAGCCTTCTCAGAAGACCTGCTCCCCTCTGTGCAGCTACTTCTTGGTGAGGATAATTTATAGTTCTAAGTCGGGGATAGGACCTTTTCCTCTTCGGTATTGTTTCTACCCATATTTGGCACCTTGAATGTGAGTGTAAGGGAGCCAAATGAGCTCCTAAAAACAAGGATGCTGCAGCACTACATAATTTCTATCTGAAGCAAGGAAGGGCAACCCACCCGGCCAGTTCGAGTCAGGCGGCCATTAGACTCACTGGAATAGTGAGAAGTAATTCATCGGGGAGACTGAGAGCAATCACGCTCAGGCAGCGTCTCCAGGATCTCTGAGCTACCAGGGTGGTGGGTTGGGGAAATCACACTGTGAACAGATAAAGGTGAGCCCGGCTCATCGCTTCTGGTCTTCCTCCCCAAGACCTGCCACATACAAGCACTTGCCTTCTAGAATGACAGTTTTCCAATCACAGGCATATCTCAATGTGAGAAAATTCCTAATTCTGAGTATACTGAAAAAGAAAGTATTTACATAATAACACTACTCAAAAAGTGCAATTCCTAGATCCATTCCCCAAGCAAAACACAGAAGTGACACAACCAAAGTGCAGCCCTCCTTTAAAAAGAGACGCCATCCCTTAATAAAGGTGAGCCAACATCCACCTCCGTGGGACTATTACTAATTACAGGGAGGCCGTCAGCTTCAAGTGGCCAGGATGTAATATTTGCCAAACCCAACACAAAGATGAAACCTCTTGACTAGCAACACAGGACTATTAACAGCAGCTAACATTTACTGCCCACTTACTATGTGGCAGGCCCCGTGCTGAGCTCTTCCCAGGCATGATCTCATTTAACCTTCTCAATAACCCCTGGAGGTAGGTTCTGTTACCACCCCTATTTTACAAATGAGGGAAAAGCACATGTGCACCAAGCCACAAAGGTAGGCAAGTGTGAGGATTTGGAGCCAGACACCCTACAGGCAGAGCCCAAGCTCTTAATCCCTGCACTAAATTTTCTCCCATATTGTAAGGCGAGTGTGACCATTTATCCCCTATCAACATAGCTTTGGGACAAACGAGGTGAAAGTAAAAGAAAAATATGAAGATCAACTAGCAAACAAGAGTGCCTGCTAACTGAAAATATTTTTATTGCCACCAGCAACATGAGAACCCCATACTAGCTCCCTGGGTTGGGGTGGGGCAGGAGAGGGTGTGCTCTAGCACAGTCAGATGTCCTGCAGTTGCTGGTGTTGCTATGACAAAGGCCTGTTTTCATTAACAAGCATCTAGGACATTACGTGAATAGCTGGAGTGCACGCTGAGCTTTGGGGTCTCTCCCACGTTACTCATCCGTATTTTTGCCAAATGTGGGTCAGGAACGCTTTCTTTCTTTCCTCTAACGACGCACCCGGGGATGGCTCTGAAGTGTTTTGTTCTCTCGTGTGCTGCACATGCTGCTAGGAATATAGCTGGAGGACAACACCAGCACATGTCAGGAAGCGGTCTTTAACGCTCTCTTCCAGGGATGACGAACGCCCTGGGAAGAAGAGGGCTCTTGGCCGACCTAGCCTGTTTCAGTTCAGTCTCTCTCTACCTTCCATCTTCCCTGGATTAAAGGATCCTGTGGGTTATGGAGGCTTTCTCGGAAGCACTTATCTTGTTCATGTACACTAAGAATATTGTTGGGCTAAGGGTTTTAAGAGTTGTCTGACAAACTGAATTCTTGTCAAGTCTCATTTGATTCTTTAAAAGTTTTCAGATCGGAATCACCTCCAATTTGCATACACCTGTCCAGGGTTCTCTGATTCGAAAACAAATATTCTAGGTTTTTATAGTCAGTGTTCAAAGTCAAGTCAATGTTCACCAAAGCTGCCAATGCTCTGGTGCTTCCTAGAGAGATCACTCTGCCATGCGCATCTTTAGACTACTTAGCGCTGTTTGAGAAATGCTCAGGATGTCTCTTGCAGATTCAGAAGCTGCTCTTCTTTCATTGCATTTACCACTGTCTGCTTTGGCTGCATTCTGACCTCCTAACCTTACTGTAAGATCTACTTCCACAGGCATCGCGTTTATGGGTTGGGTTGCACTCTTGCTGAAATTCTTTCTTACAAGGGCCCTTCTTTGTTTTCCTGTCTAAAATGAAATAATGGGATAAAACACAACTCACTATAAAATAATATAGTGGGGTTAAAAGGCTCGCTTTGAAGTCATAACTTGGTTCAAATCCTGGCTCTACCAGTTGTGTGACATTATGTGAGTTTTTCTTTTTCTTTCCTTTCTCTTTTCTCTTTTAACTTCCTTGAGCTTCAACTTCTCTATTTACAGAATGGAGGAGAGGATGCTAACAACACCTATTTTATAGGGATAAATGAGACGATATATATAAAGCTTCAAGTACCTTGCCTGGCACATGGCAAGTAACCAGCACTTTCCGGATATTAGACTGGATTTCTTAGCCAGTTAATCTCAAATAACGAGGGACAGTGCTGCCTCTGTTTTGCTTCTCATGATAGGATAGTCCTTTCCAATATGAGTTACATAAACTAGACTTCCTTAGAGTTCTCTACAGCTACCACACTTGGATTCCTTCCCATCAGAACTCAGATATGTTTAGGAATTTATCACAGTACATGGGGCAGCAGTCCCACCTGAGTTGACAAATGTCCTTCCCCTTAAGAACTCTATGAAGTGATCCTGTATCTTCTTGAGATGGTGACTTCCTGCTTAAGTCTCGGCTCTAGTAATTAATGCCCTTCCGTGTCGGATGGCAAAGACCTTGCGCAGGCCCGTCGTATCTGCCAGGACACTTCCTGCTTTGCTGCCTCTTGAACTGTGCTCAAGCCTTACACAGCACACAGGGATCGTCTGCTTTTTGTCACAGTCTCTAATGGCTTCCAAAATGTATTTGCTCACTCAGTAGAGATCAGAAGTCTCTCCCTTACGAAGACAGTAAAATTACTTTTTAAAACTGAACTCTTATTTTTGAAGTTTTAATCCTAAATATTTAGAATTTTACATTTCCACTCTAAACATCTAGAACTCCAAACATGTTGAATTTTAAATGAACATCTTGTTTGTTATTGAAAGAACTCCTTTTATTCTTCTAGCTGTATTTTTTCCCCTAATTAATACATAACTTGCTGAGGGTCTCTGATGGCCAAGACATCTTCAAAAGGCACGAAGCTGTCTTCCAACAGCCCAAATCCACTCAAATTGCAACTCACCTTCCCTTAGAAGCAACAACTTATTGATATGCTTTCCCTCTTTCAAATCCCACTGATAGTTTCTTCTTTACCATTAACTTAACTTGGGCTGTAACCAAGTTTTACAGATGTTCCATATTTCCAAAGATGATCCTTATGCACAATCATTTAACCTAAATTACCATTTTAACCCATTCAGATGTCTAGGTTAACAATAGTGACCCAATAATTATGAATTGAATTCAATAACCCAACGGATCAGCAGCCTTTGTTTCTGGAATTCTCTATAAGAGTTATGATGAACAAAATTACTCTCTTGCCTATATTATAAATGAAGATAATTTCAAATATTTATCCCCAAAGACATGCCCACTTCTGTTCTACAAAGAAAGGAAACAGGGACCTGTGACTAAGCTGTTAAAAGCAGTTGTAATTTACTTACTTTTCTTTAAGCACATTTTCCTTCATGTTTTGCAGGAAAAAAAGAACTTGAAAGCACAGATGGAAAAATTCAGTTCTTTCTTTTGATGCCATCTTTGGCAAAAAAAAAAAAAAAGGCAGAGAGAGGAGTGGAGAAGGCACAGTAGATATAGAAAGGATCATAGACTGACTGTGAGCTCTCAGAGTATTTTGCCAACAAAATCAGGCAAATAATTTAATCCTCATTTTGGCAACAGGAGGAAAGGAGCCTTCAGTAGGAACTTTCTAGTTGGGTGTGGCTGTCCACACTCCATCTCTCATGCAGAAGGGGTCCATATATGACCTACATTTATTTCCCAGCACACCTTCACACTCACTTTTCATTTCAAAAGCTTTTTTATATGATTTCAAAAAGGTTTTTTATCCGCAAGAAAAAAAAGTAAAAAAAAATCAACAGAGAGGTCTCACTAGAAGACTAGTGATTCACTCTAATGGGAACAAAAAAAAATGGCATTTGATCACTAAGAGTAGATGTTTGGAAATGCATATCTTTTTGTTTTCTGTATGAAATCTTTTCAAAAAGCCCTCTAATGACATTGCATCTGATTTTTTTCCCCTTTGCCTTGACTTTGCCCATCTGTCCTACCATTCAGAAGGGAAATTACACTGAAGAGATCTTTTTGTTTCCACTTCAGCTGTGATCATTCTTCAAATATTGACCATTAAAAACACTTACCAGAGCTCTGCCTGGCGAGTAAGTGGAGAAATGACATTTTCCACTTACTTTCATTCTGGGCCACCATGTACGCCTGGTCCCTTCTCAGAAGGAGAGTGCTGGAAAGCACTCTGCTGCGCCCACCCGCCCCCCACTCAGCAGGAGCAGCGATGCACGACTACGTTCATCTAATTTGCGCTCGTCCAAAGCCATGCTCTACGGAGGGAGAGAAACTACAGGCGACTGGCAACCAGATCAGGAAGCTCTTAGGAACACCTAGGGGACAACTACTGATATAAGGTGACTGCACCTTATACGAAGTGCTGCTGAGCATGACAGTACCTGCCTTGCGTTTTTGTGGAAGTTCACTAGACAGGGTGGTGGTAATAGCTGCAGAAGAAGGAATACTTTTAAAATCTGCATACACTGAATGTTCAGTGCTAAGTCAAGAAAGGGTGAAACCATCTCCTTCGGAAAAAGAAATTCGTGTTTGAGAAGAAGGAGGAGGGGCTCGTGGGCATACATTTCCTTCTCTGGAGACAGTTTCCCAAATGCCATCAGCCTTGATTATGGCCAAGAGGCCTCAGTGTCTTTGCAGTGTAAATCTTAACACCTATACATTCTGATGAATTGCAAAGACACACTAAATAGAATAAAATACTCGAACACAGTGAATGCTGAGAATAGAGCAACATGTATTGTAGCGACACTAATAAAACAAAAACCACCACTATTATTCCGTTGTTCTAAACATACATAAAGACACTAATTTGCTCCTTTTAAAAAAACATACACACGGTATTTGGTATATTATAGGTTTGCAAGTGCATATGTAATAATAGGTGAATGTTAGTTTCAAAAGAAAAAAAATCTCATGCCCATTTTGTATGGCAGTCCATTCATGCTTGAGCCTCCAAAGGCATAGCAAAGAAGCCCCTTTTTAGAATGAAAGCAAGGGATCCACTCTGGATTATTACAGATTTGGTCCTGGGAATATCATGTGCTGTGTCTAGAATGAATTGCAACAGGAATTACAAATGCTCAGTACTGAATTTTACCTATAGACAAAATCTGCTATTCACATAAAACTCTTCCAAGTAAGAAAGACTGGAATATGTTTTTGTTAGGTAATTCTATTGTCATCAATTTCTTTTCCCTATGATTTAGCAAGAGGAAGGAAGGAACAATGTCAGAATATAAATAATAAAATGACTTTCCTCTCTTAAATTTGACTTTCCTCTACAGCAAAACCAGGGCTCATTTCTGGTGCATACGGTGCTAAACGTTCCTGCAAGGATTACAGTTTATCTAACAGCTAAAGGTGTTTGATATTATCTGGTGAAATGAGCTGCTGTATAGGCCACAGTATTTAAAAGATCAAAACATCTGTGTGACTTGAGAATTGCTTTGGAGTTTTTAGGCTACTTAAAGGTTCTAGTGAGCTGCTCCTCCATGGCCAATGGGTGAAGGAGGACCTTGTCAAATGGCTCATTTTCTCTGCCAGGTCCCAAGCTGTTTACAACTTTCTGTGATAAAGCTAAAGTTGACTTCATTGATATTTACGGCTGAATAATTGGAATCAGATGTCCCTTGTGAACAACAGAAGAGGAAGAGAGAAGTTATTAAAAACAGACCTCTCTTTCTTTCCTTTAACCTATCACTTCTCAAGACGCTCCACGGCTCTTAAACTGAAGGATCTGGAGTAAACCAAAACATTTCCCACTTGATGAATGTATTTTTCTTCATGTCCGGAAGATACATCACTTGGCTATACCCTTAGGCTAACAAAATAAACACCATTTGAGTTATGAAGTATACTTTTGGGGGAAAAAACCCAAAAACTATTGAAAAGGCAACTTCTTGCCAACTAGAGGTACTAATTCTGGGCAACACTCATTTGCAGTGGGTACAAGCTTTGGCTGTTCCTCTGGATTCATGAGACTGTAATTTCATTGTATGTGAAAACTCTGCCACTGGAGCTAAAGTTTTAAGACACAATGAAGATCATACAAGAAATACAAGTTGGAGCGTAACCCAACATCACGGCCAACACAACGCACCCACGGCCTGGAATCTGTAGTTAAGTCTTGTTGCTCACGACCTGCGTTGTCCTGGGCTGACTTCACTCTATAGATAAAGAAACTGTCTGAAAGGCTTCTTTCCACTCTAAAACTCTACTTCTATCTTTCAAGTCATTTAAAGAAAGAAGGTGAAGTTTTAATAAAAGTAGATGAAAACCAAAACTCTTCTCAACCTTAGTGCAGCTTTGGCAGGCACAGAAAAAAGGCACAGGAATGAAGCCCAGACCACGGTGCTGTGCTGCAATTTGAATTGTTAGCAGAGCTACAAAATGGGTTTCATCTGGTCAAAGACGGGATTTGGAAAGACACTTGTAATTTAACAGGTGAAGGTTTCACTGATTCTCAGAGACCCCCAAAGAAGGTCAACTACGTGCGGGGAACACAGTCTCCTGCCTCGCTGCTCATCTGGAGAGCTGGCCGAGTACTCTCCCTGTTTCTGCACAGGTCCTACAGTCATCTGCTCTCTTCCTTAAACACTATCAGACTTAAGCCAAGATTTAGTGCTCTCCTCCTCCTGTCTTCCCAGGTTTCTTGTTCTCTCTCCTCTTGTGGCATAGAGGAAAGAACATGAGTTATGGGCTTACAGAGACCTGGGTTCCAATCCTAGCTGTTCCACTTCCCGGTGAGGAAACTCTGGGGATGTTCCTTAAATATGAGTGGTCCCAGTCTCTGCATCTGTAAAAGGGCAATAAGGATGGCTACCTCAGAGGAATTCTTAGGGAGAGCAACTGAGAGTACACGTAAATCCTCCAGCCTCTGCAGAGTAGGTCCCTGATCTCATTTGTTTCCTTTCCCACTTCACTACTCCATTCTTGAGCCCAACCACTTCCTACCTGAGCATTGCTGTTCCCTGGCCCTATGCTCCTGCTGTTCTTTTCACCAGGCCCACCCCTTTCTTGTCATCTCCACATATTCAAATCTCATCCAGCCTCCAAAATTCAACTCAAAGACCACTTTTCCCAGGAAGTGACCCTGGAGACTTTTTCCTTCATCTGACATTCTTTGATCTATCTGACCCATATCCTGTCATACATTTCTATGCCATTTTATAATTACTTATATGTTTTTTCTTCCCTACCAGTCTAGGTCTAGAGCATCTAGCCCAGCATTAACTACACCTGGGTGCTCAGCAAATATTTGTTCAATGAACAAACGTGAACACAGGACCAAAAGGGTAGCTTCTAATGTGCTCATTTTAATGAAGACAATGCTTTAGCCACTGCTCTAAATGAAAACATTGATCAGAGAAGAAATAGCCAGAATCAGGATGTGAGATACACTCTGTGGGGTGAGAAAAAGCATCTGCCGCTGCAGGAGCCAAAGAAGTTATGTGGGAAAAGCAGCACACAGAGGGAAAGCGACAGAAGCCTGGGGCCAGCACAATGGCTCTGAGCCTCAGCCTGGACACAGCGCCAACCTGCAGAGACGGAGACCGTCCTGTGCGTCGAATCAGACTTTTGGGATAAAAGAAATCGGATGAAGAACGACGAACGTTTGGCTGCCGTGAAACATGAGAAAAGGTAAGAATGAACAAAGAAATATCCTCAATTCAGAAACACTATCCAAAAAAAAAAAAACTTTCAGGAAAACTAATTTGATAGTAATCCCAAGTGGCGTTGCTTTAGTTGATACATGCGTGTGTGCGTGTGTGCGTGCGTGCGTGTGCGTGTGTTTGGGGGCCCATGTTTAAAAGCATATTAACTGGTCTTCCAGTACATTTGTCTATGTTCCAACCCCCAGCCCTTCCTTTCCATTTATTTTGGCTTAGACATTCTTACATATGAAGAGTAAGAAGCCAAGGAAGCCAATGAGAGATGTTCTTAAGAATCTGCTGTTATAAACGCCCCACGAGTTCTTAAATATCAAGAATGTGGATTACTCAGTGGGGTTGCTGAAAGATTCCTAAAACATTTTCATTTTGCTATGGTAACTGCATTAATGCGAGACCCAGTGAAAGGCCTGGAAATCTTGGCTCAAGATTTGTGATCTGTAGACACACCCTTAAGAGAGTACAAGATTTATTCCCTTATTCAAAAACTGATTCCCCTTTAAACCCCACCAATGTCAGCATGTCCCCCACCCGGGGCAGACTGGAACATCTTCCCCATGGGGGTGCACCATCCTTCTCACTACTGGGCTTCCCAAAGGTGCGTGAGCTGAGGGCTGGCCTGACCTCCCAAGTGGTAAATGTTGGCTTTAGGAGAAGAGCTTTGGAATTCTCTAGAAAGCTTTCACTAAAGGAACGAAAAACAATAGCTCCTCTTGACCAGAATGAGTGGAAGTATTTCACTAGTTGTTTTCATAAGCTTATCCAGAGAGTTCCATCAAGATGTGATCAAGAGTGTTGATTTTTTTAAAAAAAATCATTTTAGTAACACAATCTGCGAACTCAAGCAATCCTTACAGAGAAAAGACACACATTCCACGCAGTCTGGCCTCATTAGCATTCCTCCTTTTGTCTACCAAAAGACTTCATCAGGGATGAAGGAAAAATGATAATTCAAAAAACTAAAAGTACCACTGTAGAGATAGTGCAAACCACTATCTACTTGGGTGGTTTCTGGGCAGCATCCCCTAGCTGTGTTGTGAATTTTACATTCTTATGATAAAAGTGACAATAAGTACTATCTTTAATGTCCCACTATTTTATAAAGATAACCCATTTCCAAAGCATCTATGGTTCCTCAAAAATCCCAGAGTCTGGCCCTCAGACACAAGTGACTGTTCTAGTGTGGGCCTGCCTGGTCGATGGACTTGATGGTTATATTCACACATGCTCGTGTTGAAGATGCATGTCGGAACAGAGACCAAAACCATTCTGATATCGGCATATAAATTCCTTTTAAGTTTGTCTTGTCCTTACTCAATTATTCTGAGAAAAAGTAGTTTTTCCTCCACTTAAAGCATGCTGTACCGGGTTTATATACATGGCTCCGTAGGCCTGCTCGTGGCAGATTGAGAAGAAATGATACCATACTCCAGAGTCTGGCCTCCAATATAAATTCAGGCCATTCTTTTCCCTGAGACACCAAGTGGAGTACGGTCCAACTCCAGTTTTTCCAAGGGTACCACTGTGTTAGTTAAACGGAGAGACTGTGGACTGGAATCCAGTCTGATTATTGCTCTGAAAAATACTTCACAGCCCAGGTCAAAAACTGGGCCATCTGAACAGAATACGGATTATGATAATGACCTTACAACTGTGCATAGCCCTTTGCTTCTGAAAGAGACAAAATATTGTCATCTGGAGGTCTTCTGAGACTTGACTAAGACCAGGAGAAAGCTTTAGAAGTTATAGATAAAAGGATTTATCCTTTTGTTCATGTGCTCCATGTTCTAGGATAGTTACTAAAACATTTTGATGCTACCTAAGAGTTAAGTTACAAAACCATCCAGGGCTCTTGTCCACCTTGACACATCTGGGATCATCATTATTTCCCCCAAAGGTTTTATCTGACAAACCATCAGCTTTTGGAGATGGAGGCCACTCAGTGAATTCGGATTTGAGAGGTCAGTAAAATGTACCAAGAGTGGAGCAGTGAATGCAGAGTTTGGGTTGGAGTGGTTACAGAATAAGTACAAAAAAAAAGGTCTGGTAAGGAGGTCACTAGATGTTGGACCTAGAACTTGATGAATCATTTTTTCACATCTGTATGATTTGACTTTTCCCTTGATTGCTTTCCTAAGGACCCGACTAGTGAGGCAAGGCTTACTTTGTCTAACACAAGCATTTGGAAACAAAACCCACAATCAAAGGGAACCTCCTTTCCTGGACAAATGGTTTTTCAATGGCTTTTCAATGGACAATGGCTTTTTTTGGTCTGCTATAGAGAAAAAAAGTAATTTCACCCAAACTCCAGTCCCAAGAATTTGTGACTATAAAATATAGGGCCCGCAAATGCACGAGGCCTCACAGCTCTAATTACTTCCTTACCCGCAGCTTTTCCTCAGTCTTAGTAGATTGCTTACAGTCGGGATGCCAAACGGTGGAACCTGGCAAGACATAAAGCACCACTCAGAGTAAAGGAATTGGAAAGAAGGCATAGTTCTATTAGACAGAACTTTGAGAATGGTTCATATCCCTCTTTCCCCATAACAGGGAGTGTTAGAGCCCTATGGCCAAGTGAATTACGACAACTCCAAATTCTGCGTGAGTTTTCCTCATCCAGTCTGAGCTTGTTCTTTAAAGGTCATTATTGTAGACCACAGAGACCACTAACTGGGCACAAGGGTATTTTGACGCAAGAGATATTTAGTTCTTGACTGGGTGTGTATTTTTTTTTTTAAACCATATTATTATCCTTTAGAAGTAATGTCTGTGTGCTTACTACAAGCTGCATGTAACTTCAGAAATATGGGCCACACGCCATGTTTATATAACATCAAAACAAATAAGCAATTTAGATGAGGGAAATAAAGTCAAACCGGGCAGTCTACATCGAAAAGCAAAACTCTCTGAATTCTTCTGTAGATCCGATTTTACACACAGTCATCTACACAGACAGGGGAAGTCAAGCCAATCAGTAGAAAGGCTGAAAATTATATTACAAATCCCAGTTTCCTTTAACTTCCAACCTTTTAATTAACAACAACAAAAAAGTCTCCACTTTTAAACTGGTGAAGTTACTACTTAAGTGTCATTTTCCACTCCAAGGTCAATGGCCCTCTTTCTCAGAGTATGAAGCCCTTTCACAGACAGAACCGATGTCAGGAAACTCAGCAAAGTACTTATATCCAATAGAAAACTCTTATCTTGTGAGAATGCAAGCCTGCCTCTACTATTTTGAGTGCGTAGATACATAATATATGTCATTTATACAATTGGGGAGAAGACCTATACGTAAGTCCCAAGTTCACAAAAGGGTATGTTCGAATGTGGGGATGGGCAGGCAAGCTTGAGGGAGCACTCAGAAAGACTTAAGCAAATCAAGTTACTAAGTTGAAAGCAGGGAGTAAATATATAAATTTAACAAGAATCTCAGTATGAATATTAGACTTTCTCCATTTTATTGTTGAAATCTTCACCTCTTCCAGCAGCAATCTGTGTGGACTTGAAAAGTCACCAAATTAATATAACTCGAATTATTTTACACCACTGAGCTAAAATAACACTAAATTAATGACTCAGAAAATACATTTTATATCAGAATAATATTTTAATCCCTATTTAACAATCCTTTCTATCTCGCTTAACCCAGGTCCAAAAAAAAAAGAAAATCAAACAAACAACCATCAGGCAGACACACAGTCTCTTCAGCACTAACATTTACTCGGAGGCTGGCTACAAAGCACAGGAAATCCTCTTAACGTGCAGGGCCAAGGGGTCAGGGGCCGGGCCCGGGAGCAGCGTTCTCTGTGAAGGCTCCATTGAGCGGGAGTCCTTGGCCAGAACACCAGGTTTGTACACAGTGTCACATTGTTCTCCAGAGGTCAGACACCCAAAGAATGTGACTCAGAGGGAACATCAGATGTTGAGGAAGATGAAGCTGCTCATTCTTCAAGGATGTGCTGAGAGGGCAGGCAAAGAGGACCAAAGCCCAACTCTAGAAGAGATTTATAGCAATGCTGGAATTCTGCACGGAGCCCATCTTAACAGACAGTTGTTTATTTGCAGTACGAATATGCTGTATTGGTGCCCAGCTTGAAATCACTCTCTCTATTCAGCTTCCAGAACCATGTGAACGTGCAGAGCTACACCCAGAGCCTTTGAATCTCTGTTCCCAGCAGACGTAGGGTTGACGTGCGCTCCTGTGTCTTTGTGTTTGAGTGCTATAATTAACACACTCAAATCTAAAACAAAGCCTGGAGACCAAATGAAGAATAAATCGGCTCCATGCTGAAAATGCAAAATGACACCTGCCTATCGCTACTACAGATTCACAGCCTATCCTTCGGGAAATGTGTCACATAAAGCCCACATGAGACCATAGATTCAGATGCCTGTCACTCGCCTTTATGGGGTCCTTTAAAATTCAGTGGATTTTTTTAATCTTAATTTTTCAGAGTGATCATTCCAAAGCTAAAGGATGTTTGGGTTGTCAATTTCTCACACAGATAGCCTTTTTTAGGGGAGAGTAGCTGCAGCTTTGCTTTAATACTCAAGAATCATTTCTGTAGACTTTTCTTAGTTGCATAAAAACAAAACTGAGAGCAAAGCAAACCATTCATTAAAACTACACATAGTGTTACGTGCAAAGAGAAACGAAGACACAACGCGCAAAGGCAGATGAGACCCAGTAATTACCGAAACTGAACGAGCAAAAGCTCTTACGGTTCTTGCTAATTTTACTGATAAGCCCTTGTCTATTTAATGACTCTTTTCCCAGCTAAAAATAGTAAACCGCTTGCACAGATGGTGCTGTTTGACTGGAAGAGAATCTTCCCCTAAAGCTCTCTGAGAGGCTCCAGAATTTTAGAGGAGACAAAAACTAAACATAGTTGTACACTGGGTAAATTTCTCAAAATCATTTTCATTAAAGAAAAATCTAATGGCCTTCTGGTAATGGATACTTCGTTGGCTCCAGAAACTTCTCAATTTCTCTTTCAGGGACTTTGGGTGTGTTTGCTCTCACTCTTTCAATATGAGAGCTATGTCATCTTCATGGGATGAAGTACGTCCGTGATGCAATTCACCAAATATGAGATTTTCTTCTTCCTGAAAGCCTGGATAAGAGCAGCTGAGAGACTAAAAAAAAACCTTTCTTGCAGCATAGTGAAATGAGAAAAGACAAGTAGCCATACAATAAGTTGCACATCTAGAAATGCATTCTCCCTTTTGATCTTTTGTTTCCCAAACACATTCCCGGGGAGGGTTGGGAGGAGGTATTGCTAATTTTCACTCTTGCTTTACATCTAAAGCATCAACATCCAGTCCTATTCATTCATTCCAGAAGCAGCACAGTTCATTCGTTAGCCTCAGGGGCTCACTGCCAGCATGTCATGTCAATTGCTCAGCTGATTAATATTAACTGATGAGGTCACTTTTGGCCACGTTCATTTTGGACCTGGGTAGCCTCACAGCTAATGAAATGCCTCCTCCTCTAAAAACAGTCAAGCAAACATAGCAAGGTTTTCCTTCCCCAGCTAGGGAGAACTTATTGGATTCTTGAGACCATCTTACCTTGAAGATACATTTCCTCTCCTTCTGTGAACATCTGGTTGCATCTGCTGCATCGTGCACAGCTGGGGTGGTAATGTTTGTCACCTGCCTGCAAGAGAAGAGGTGGGGAATATTTAGTCTACTCCTGGTCACCATTCTCGGCCCCTTTTCTGGACTTGGGGATTTGCAGGAAAAGAGAAGAAGCTGAGGCAGGAAAAATAATTGTCCAATTGACCAAACTTTCTACACCAACAGCCCTAGAAGCTGACGCCAACCCATTGGAACTGGGAGGGGCTCAAAGACCAGCTATTCGTGCCTGCTGGGATGGGGCTGCCATGCTCCTGGGGTTTCTGGCTTCCCTTTCTCTCTTGCCTTGGGCTCTCCTGGATGGTTGCCAATCACACCATGTTCCTGAGGTGGGTCCACTCCATCTCCCAAAATCCCCACCTCATAACATCCGAATTGATGTTGGAAGCTAATGTCAGTTTGTACTAAAGCAATACAAAGAAAAGATCCTATTTAGCAGGTTCTTGCTTTCTTAGCTAAAGAGTCTGAAAATAATGAAATCTACCCAGCATACATCAAGACGAGAAAAACCATAGTAAAAGACACCGTCCACTTCTTTTATCTCAGAAGGAGCTCAAGTTCTCTTCCATGCTGCTTATAACAATCTTTTGCCAAAGTCTTATGTTAATTGTTTTCTGAAGAAGGCATTTTATTGAGGTGGCTCTGCATTATTCATGGGCATTTCACATTCCTAAATATGACAGATGCCATCACAGCAGGTGTTGACTTCCCCACAGCAAAATGTTACCGGACACAGGGACAATTCTCTAGACAGGTGCCAAGTCACACTGAGTCACGCTCCAAATACATGCCTGACAAAATGAAATCCTTTTGTTTATAGCTTAGCAAAAACTCTCACCACCTAAAAATTATCAAATGTACTCTGCAATTAAATCAACTGTGAAAACATTTCTTCAGCATTAACCATGTGCAAGGCAGTGCTGAGAGTCCAGAGTTAAAAGTGGCTGCATTTTGTACCTACATAAAATCTCACCAGGAAATCAGAGGTCGTATAGTGAATCCTTTCTCACACCTTCCTGTGGAAACTACAAAAGCCACTTAACAAGCAGAGTGTGAGACGGTGGTCAGCTACTCAAGATAATCAAGTAGAAAAAAATTGAAGTTATTTAAAAGTAGAAGCCAGGAATGAAATCTTTTCAGTGGTGTCTGCCAGAAAATTCCAGAAGTGGAAATCTTGTTCTTGTCCACACAGTATTTTTTATTTATTTTTTTCCCAGGGGGTGATGGGAGAGTAGAAAATGTTAACACAAAGTAGCTCCTTTCCTTAGGCCATCCGGGGTCCAATGTGAGGAAAAGCAGGAAGAGAAAAGATATTACTCAGTTCTAGGGGCTGGCCCTGTGGTGTAGTGTTAAGTCTGGTGCTCTCCGCTTTGGTGGCCTGGTTTCACAGGTTCAGATCTCAGGTGTAGACCAACACCACTTGTCAAAGCCATGCTTAGGCGGTGACCCACATGCAAAGTAGCGGAAGACTGGCACAGATGTTAGCTCAGGGCTAATCTTCCTCAAGCAAAAAAAGAGGAAGCTTGGCAATGGATTTTAGCTCAGAGCTAATCTTTCTTGCCAAAAAAAGAAAAAAAAAATATTACTCAGTTCTAAACCACATTTGCTCAGCTGGGATGTCAACGCTGGGAGGTCTCAGGCAGTTGAGATAATCTCTGGATTCTCAAGGAAAATGAAAGGGAAAGAGTGAAGGCCCCTTGGTAGGAATCTTGTGTAGTCTACAGTGAAAACCAAACTCCTCAGTAAGCTAGGAATAGAAAGAAATTTCTTCAGATTGATAAAGTATAACTACCACATTTAGTGGTGCAACATTAGAGGCATTCTCATTAGAAATGGGAACAAGATGATGTACATTTTCACTAATGTTTTTCCACATTGTTTTAGTCCTAGCCGATGTGATGTCAAGAAAAAAAATAAGCATGAAGGTCACTAATAAAAGAGTTCAATCAACTAGCCAGATAAAAAATTAACATACAAAACCCAATAGTTTTCCTATTCACTAGCAAAACAAATTTAGTCAGTGTAATGGGAAAACAGGACCCCATTTGTAATAGCAACAAATAAACTTCTCAATGCAAGGTCTACACAAGGAAAACTACAGAACTTAACTGATGGACATAAAAGACTTAGTAACATACACTGCTTTTGGATGAGAAAACTAAATATTGTAATTTATCTAACATGAGCCTATTAATGCAATGCATTCCCAATCAAAATATTCACAGCTGTTTCCTCTATAGACCTTGACAAGCTGATTCTATAAGTTCCCATGGAAGAAAAAGATGCACAAAAATACAAAGACATTTTTTTAAAAAGAGAGAAGCAATGAGGGGGGATTGTCCCTTCTCAATATAAAAATTTATTCCAAGGCTAAAGTAATTAAAGTGCTTTAATATTGATGCACGAATAGAAAATAAATCAGTGGAACAGAAGAGAAGAAACAGTTGCCCAGCCATCCACACAGGAATAGAATTCAGTTTTGATAAAGGTGGCATTTGAAATGAGTTGAAAAAATGGATTATTCCATTAACAATGAAGATGACGGGTTCTCCACTTAGGGAAAGGTACAGTCTAGACTCCTAAGTCATAACCTACACAAAAACGAATTCTAGAGAGTTACAAAGCTAAATACAGAAACAAAATTATAGAAATATTAGAAAGACATATAGGACACTATTTTTAATAAACTTGGGGTAGGAAGGCTTTCTTAAGCAAGGCAAAACCTAGAAACAGTAAGGACAAATATTGACTGTGCACAAAAAAATAAAAATCTCTAGACATAAAACAAAGTTAAAAGAGAAGTAACAGGAAGAAAATATTTGCATGCATTTCAGACAAAAGATTATTATCTAGAATATATAAAGAGCATCTATAATGAAAAATAAATGGCAATATGGGCAAAAGGCAATTTCCAGAGGACATGTAGATAACCCAAAAAACAAAGAATTAGCTCAACTCCACTAGAAATCAGGGAAACACAATTTAGAAAAAAATATTTTTGTTCATCAAATTGCCAAAGATAAAAAGAAGACTAGTGTGAGGAAAGAGGCATTCTCACAGTGTTGGTGAGCAAAATTCTGTTTTTTGGAAGGCACCTTTGGCAGTATTTATTGATGAGGAAGCTGAGGGTTGGAGAGGTTTAGTAACTTGTCCATGGGCACACAGCTAGGAATGGTGGGGCTAGGATGCAAACCCAGGCAGTCTGGCTCTGGAATATGTGTTCTTAACTAGAATCATAACTAATAACCATACAGTACTCCACTGCGATAACTACCTCACAGTGATGTTATTAGGGTAAATGACCAAGTGACACTTTGGAAATGGTGTGACAGACTGCATACGATAATGATAGGAATAACAACACAGTAACTCTGCACAGAGATGGTTCCTGGGCCATTCACAAAAAGAAGCCTTGTTAGTGCGGTTTGGGATGCTGTCCCAAGGACAGGCACAGGAGAGTAACTGTGTTATATGAACTGTCACACCAGATGGGTGGACGATACATCAAGGTCCCATTGGCAGGGATTTGCTCTAAAAATTAGCAAAAACACTGCTAAGAAACAGTATCGTCATAATGCCAGGGACATCAGTCTTAACCCATGCACTTGCTTCATCCCACGATGCCGAACATGTCAAGAAATTCAGTGAGCCAGAATCAAAGGGCAGTTTCACTGCCATTCAAAAGCTTTTCTGTTTTTGTCGCAGTGGAGGCCTGGGGAGCCACAGAGTTAGCTGCTCAAGGATAAGGGAGCTCCTCCTTTGCATGTATGGGCAACCCCCTCTCTGTTTCACTTCTTCTTACACTGGTACTCATGACGGTTCCCAGATCAGCTTTGTGCACAGGACCAGAAAAAAGCACCAGAGCTGAACACAGACACAGGGTCATATGCAAACTAACCCCCCAAAAAACGGATGTAGTTGAATCAAAATCATTTAAATTGGGTCATTTTTAGAAGAAGGAAAAGTATTTCAGATCATGAACAAAATGAAAGTCTAAATAGTACCCATATAAGAACAGATGATAAATATATAATTCATTGTGGAGAGGGGGCTACTGACACAGACTTTAAAGCACAGTGGGCTTTGCTGTGACAGGTGATCCCACGAACAGTGGGTACCAGGTACCTGGCCCCAGGCCCAAACCCTGCAACTTGGCTCTGCCTGAGTCTGGAAGGCCAGATGTATTGCCAGGGCTCACCAGAGCTCTGTTGTCAATATTCTCCAACCATCTTTGTGCCCTGCTATTTAAAAAATTACAACCTTATTTTCTTCATTTTCATATATTCAAAATGCACATGTTAAAAGCCCACATTCTGGCTGGCATTAAAATCCACAGACAATAAACAATTTGCTTTTTTAGCTGAGTTCTGAACACCTTGTGGATCTGGGGTGCCCCAGGAAAGGGCTATAATATTTGGAATCAGGAGATTTGGCTGTCATTCCTCAATTTCTTATTCATGGGACCTCAATTACGTCACTACTTACCCTCTCCAAGCCCCAGGCCCCTCATCTGTAAAAAGCGAAGGCTGGACTAGACAATTTTTTTTTTTTTTAAAGATTTTATTTTTTCCTTTTTCTCCCCAAAGCCCCGCGGTACATAGTTGTATATTCTTAGTTGTGGGTCCTTCTAGTTGTGGCATATGGGACACTGCCTCAGCGTGGTTTGATGAGCAGTGCCATGTCCGCGCCCAGGATTCGAACCAACGAAACACTGGGCTGCCTGCAGCGGAGTGCGCCCGAACTTGGCCACGGGGCCAGCCCCAGGGACTAGACAATTTTGAGTCCCATTCAGCTGTAAAATTCTGATTCTGTGTGAAATCCCCTATCTCCACAAGCTGACACAGCAGTGTGAACAGAAAAGCAATCTGGATAGAGAGAGGAAACTCTTGGTGGCAGGAAATGGAATTTAATTGATGACCCCATAGTGTTTGATACCCAGGAGGGACTCTGCTGCCCTGACTGAGCCCTGTGCCTACTCTAGTAGACCCCTGGGAGGAAAGAAAGAGAACTGTCATTACGCCT